CCCGTGATTTTGCGGTAGAGTCGGTTTGTTCTTTTGTTCTCTTGTTGCCTGGCTTGGGACCCGGAACACCCTTCCGACGCTGTGCATCGCTTGGAGTCGCCCCTGTGGCGGGTGTAGAATTGGCGTCGGCGTCGGAGCCATTGTCGGCGGATGATGGGCGGACAGTAGGGAGCTCAGCGGATGAGGTTGGGGAGGAGCCGTTGGTTTTAATGTTAGGGGTATTATTTTGACTCTTGATCTTTGGACTGGCAAATTGCTGAAGAGTATCCCGAGACAGCTTGAGAACCACTATCATGGAAGAATTCTTAGCTCCAACGCGGGAGCGACCATTTGGAGTGGCGGCGGGCATGATGGATGATGGCAAGACGAGATTGCGTATGGGGGTTTTAAATAGTCGAGAGGGGAATGGTGACGGAAGTGTATTGAGGCAATTCACAACCGTGACGTGGTGTGTCTCTACCGCCCTGTAGAAGTAGAAGTGTGTGTAGTTGATGGCATAGTCCGATGTGGTGATGATGGGGGGGGTGAGAGGATTAGGGGGAAGGGGAAAAGGGAAAACGGAAAGGAAGTAAAAAAGGGATCGTGGGCCCTCTCATCGTAGGGAAAAAACTCATACATTGAAGCACAGGGGGGATGTTGAAGGTGGACTTGGGCCTTGTACTGTCATTTTACAACTTTGCCCAGCCACTTCGAGACTTGGAAGAGCTTAATACGTGAATGTGACAATACAATACCATATATACAGCTTTTGTTCTTTTTTCCTTTCTTCAAAATGTTACTCCGTACATATATGTACTAGATAATGCCTCCCACTCAAGACTTTTCCCTTGCCGCTTTTTGATCACTAAGTAAAACTGAGCACGTCCCAGAGTACCCTGACTTGATCACGTGCCATTACATAATCATCGATCTGCCCGGGCTCACCAGGTGAGGAACTATCACCTGATTATCCCGTGAGCACCCTGAATCGTGTCTCTGTATAATGTTAGACAAGCTCTTAGTACTTTCGGTGCAGGCCATTCGGCCAGTAAGTATAGTAGGCGATGGACTATTTGCGGCGATATGGTCAATAGGAATTATACTTTAATCATCATGTGACTTCGAGTACTAGACATACAAAAGTGCATAATACAGTTAGTCATCGATATCCGCTCAGATTGTTAAAAAACAGCGGGTTTGGTCATTTTAGTTAGAGTCATCCATATCTACCATTTTTACTATACATTGTCGTACAGCCAGTTTTCTATCATGCTTCAAAAAAGAGGGCAGCAGCAATACTATTAACGAACTAACTATCACAGTATAAACGGCCCCGAGTGGGCTAATCCTTTCTGGGTATAGTCTGCGGCGGGCTGAGTGCATCACTAAGTAATCAGAGAGCATCTAACTAACTATCCATGGATCCATGGATGGATCTAATGAGCACTTACTAAGCACTCGATCGGTCGTTCTGCACGTGACTAAACTGAGCATGATCACTGAGCCCGTGCTGGCATCTACTCGGTGAGCCCGAGTCTGAGTACCCTCATAAAAGCGGCGGCAGCTTAAATAGCCACACTCCAGGGAAAATCCGGTACATATAGGTGCATGTATAATATATAATATATTCAAATTATACATATGAAATGCTTCATCTTTACTCCGTATAGTCAGTATGATTCAATGTTTCTCCTTACATACGGAGTAGTAAACATGACATTGTAACATTTGAACTCATATCCAATACTCCGTACTCCGTATACAAATACCCAACCCTAACCCGTCGATGGATCTCATTCCATACCCGCCATGTCCCGAAAATAACTCACTGACCGCATGATGTCTCGAGAGATTGCACCCTTTCAAATGTTTCTTTTTTTGTTGACAAAAAAATAAAAAATAAAAATAAACACATCTCTTTGAGATCAAGTCCAGGTGGACCCATTCTGAACAGATCTGGTGAGGGTATCACGAGTTTTCTTACACTATACGACTATTACTCCGTACGGGTCGCCACCTTCGGAAATATGAACTTCGATTAGTCGAGGGGTGAACCAAAAGAATTGCTAAATTACGCGACACTGCCAAGGGATCGTCCATGGCACAAAAATTACAAAGAATCATAGATACAATATCTTGTAAATGTACACCTAAAGCCAAGCCATCTAACCCTAATTTCTCAAGCCTAAAAGAAATCCAATCAATCACGCTTACTATCACCGTCAGCCTTGCGCCGTTCAACCACCTGTGCCACGGCACGTTGCACCTCAGGACTGGACCGCACTCCGCCGAGGATTAGCCCTTCCTTCATGCCCCGCTGGAGCGTCGACACGCTCTCACGGTCTCCACGGAAAGGTGACAAACCCATCTGTAGCATCCGCGTCGCCTCAAGATCCAAGCCACGCGATAAATGGATCAACTCTCCGAGCCGCTGCACAGTCTGCGGTGATATCTTATCGCCTTTCCCATTGCTCGCAACTTTGGTGGAGGGCGGTGCGACTTGCGAGATGAAAATGTGTAGCATAATGGAGGCGCGACGTGCCAGCGTCAAGATCTGGAAGGGGAGGAGGTAAAAGGAATTTTTAGGGAGCCAAGCTTGTAGAGCGGCAGGAAGGTATGCGGTAGGCATGAACACAGCCTGGGGGTGCGTAATCAAGCCAAGTTCGAGGGTCAACATTGCAGCGAACGTGTAGAAGCGCCACTAACGACAATCAGCTTATTGAACCTCTTCCAGTAATGATACTGTGTACTCACGTAACGGCCCCAATTCGCCCACCACAGCCAGTTAAGCACAATGGTTGTGATAAAACCGCCGACATATTGCGGGATAACCGACTTCAGCAACGAGGTCATCAGGAAGTCGCGCATGGTCTTCTGCTCGCCCCATCCGAGCATATCTTTCCCAAACCGGTCATAGGCAAATCGCTTCACTGGGTCGGTCAATGTTTCCTGCGCCTGTCGAAGGTACAGGAAGTACGCATCGGACCCGCTGTCTAACCCGACTTTATCGGGGTGGTACTGAGCAGCGAGCCGGCGAAATCGCGACTTGATTGCACGTTCATCGGCAAATGGCGATACACCTAGAGCTTGGTAGTAGTCGCCTGCAAGCTGTACCTGGTAGAAGGTCTCGTAGAGCGTGTATAGGAGGTAGCTGGTGATCACGAAGATGAAGATACGGCGTCGATGACGCTCGTACCGTGGAGTTTGAGGCTGTGGCTTGGGTTCACCAGCGCGTATTGTTATTCCATAGTAGACACTTTGTAGGAATGATGTTGCATACTTGTCATTCATATCAGCTTCCATTCCGCGTGTTGTATAGCTCCGCATTGCGCTCCACTTACATTGGGAAGAACAGCCCACCCGACAAAAGGTAGAAGGGATGCCATGGCGAGTAAATCAATTTCACCTGAATAATATCAACTGCATCATATCAAAGAAGAAACCAGAAGAATAAAGGACTCTAAATGCCACTTGTCGATTACAATACGGACCCCATAATCCTAATGGGGCGCCATTTACACCCCGTCACCGCCTATCTCCACCGCCTTCCCATCTTGTCATAGCAAAAGCCAAATGAAAAAAAAAAAGTTCTCGATGCCTCGAAAGTAAAAAAAGAAGCACTCCAATCCCTCCACATCGACACGACAAGCTCCGTGGAGCGCCCAGATTGCCTCCACGATGGCAATTGACGCAATGGAAATCGACAGTCTGCCAGTCCGCACAGCGGACGCAGAGCGCAAACGCAAATCTAAAAAGGATGCATCATCCGCATCACCATCGAAAAAGCGAAAGCAAACCCCATCCTCAAAAGCAACTCCACACCAAGACCTCAATCCCGAGTCTCCCTTCACTCTCACAACAGCAACCCTCTACTTGCCTTTATCACCCATCTCCATCTCTCCGACGCACGCGCTGGCCTCGCTGCTGGCCGAGCATCTGTCACCACTGCTCCTGACCTACTTCCCCCCGCTGAAGGGCGTTGTCCTGGCTTACTCCAATGCTTCGATTTCCAGCAAGCCACCGGCCAATCTTCGCTCAACTTCGGACCTGAATCCGCAGCCGCTCACCCTCGCCACAACAGCGGACGAGTACGGTGTTTTGTACGTCTACCTGACCGCCACATTTTTGGTGTTCCGGCCGAAGCGCGGACAAACCCTTGAGGGATGGGTGAACGTGCAGTCGGAGGGATTCCTCGGTGCTGTTGTGTTCAATTTGTTCTCTGTCGGCGTTGAGCGCAAGCGTCTGCCCTCGAACTGGAAATGGGTGCCGCCTGGTGAGCAGGCTGAGACGCCGGCTTTGACCGATGACGACTCGGGCTCTGATAAGGATACGGCGGATTTCGACACCGAGAAGGAATGCTTCAAGCCTACTACTCTTTCTGAGGGTGAGATCGCGATTGGTGAGGAGGAGGAGGAATCCGCTCACACCGGTTATTTCCAGTCTGTTTCTGGACACCGCGTGCATGGCTCTGTGCGCTTCCGTGTTGTCGATGTGGATGTCATTCCCGGTTCTGAGCGTGATCGTGGTTTCCTTAGTATTGAGGGAACTATGCTTTCTGTTGAGGAGGAGGAAAGGCTTGTTGAGGCTGAGCGCCAGGGTCAGTCTTTGCCTCCATCGTTCTTCTCATCGCCTAAGAAGCTTTCTGGATCCATCCCCGTGATGGACGTCCCGGCGGCGTCGTCCGTGCAGGAGCTCTCAACTGTGGATGTGCATCTTGAGCCCAGCCCCAAGAAGGAGAAGGCGAAGAAGGAGAAGAAAGAGAAGAAGGAAAAGACTGAAAAGAAAGAAAAGAAGTCCAAGTCTTCCAAGTCGAAGAGCAAGGACGAATAAAATTCGCTGTATACATGTCTGCATGAGCACCGATATCATAAATCACTGTTGACTACATCCTGGATGGGCGTTCCGGTTTGCTTGTTATTTTCCGTTCCGAATGTGTATATGCCAATTGAACAAAACACTTCATTTCAAATTATTTCCTGGTGACATATTAAGGTGCAAACCTCGAATCCCCCATATCCCAACTAGACCTTCAGAGACAAAACATCTGCACCAGCAAGAATCTCTGCTTTCCCTGGCATCTTACCAGCCCTCATCAACTCCGAAGACTTAGACATAACGGGATCAACCCCCATACTAGCAACCGCCACAACGGTCTCCCCAGCCGTGTAAAACGCAACAAACTTGGCCTCCCCCTTCTCTTGCACAATAACATCATCAAACCCGTTGACCGGATTTCCACAGTACCTTAACTGCGCCCCAAGCGCCGACCAAAACACTGGAATAAACGTCTTAGGTTTCAGAGAGGAAAGCGGACCACGCTGCGTATGCACAATCGCGCGGGCAGCCGCACGCCCAGAATTCTGCGCGACGTTCCAGTGCTCAATGCGGACTGGCGTACCCGTAGCGTCAGCACCAGGGCCAAAGTATGGGTATGTTGCAATATCTCCAATGGCGAAAACGGAGTCTTGCAAGCCCGGGACGAGGAAGTGGGCCGTTGTTTTGATAGAGCCGTCCTTTTCGAGTGAGATGGATTTGTTGTCGCGGAGGAAATCTGTTGCTGGGCGAACGCCGACTCCTAGGATGACGAGGTCGGCTGGGAGGGTTGTGCCGTCTTTTAGGTGGACTGCGCCGACGTTGTGGGTGTTTGAGGGTGAGGCGGCTGCATAGCTTACGTTTGCTGAGAGGTTGAATTTGATGCCGGATTTTTCTAGGTTTCCTTGGAAGATGCGGCCGACTTGTGTACCCATTACGCGCTCCATTGGGGAGCTTTCCATGCCTACTATTGTCACGTTATGGGATTTTGAGAGCGCATTGCCGACTTCCATGCCGATGAAGGAGCTGCCGATTACCACGATGTTTCTTTTTTCTTCACCAGCGGCTGCGAGGATTGACTGAACATCTTGGATCGTGCGGAGGGTAAAAACGTTGTTTAGTTCGCCCTTAAATCCTTGCAACGGAAGGGTGCGTGGGACGCCGCCTGTTGCTAGGACTAGTTTGGTGTAAGAGATGTTCTGGCCGGATTTGGTTGAGACTGTTTTCTGTTCGAAGTCCACGGCTGTCACTTCATCTGTGATGGTTTCTATGGCGGCTTCGGTGTACCACTCTCGTGGCCGCCACTGGATCTTGGCCGGGTCTGTGATTAGGGCTTTTGATAGCTTGGTTCGATCTATTATCAGATCGGGCTCTTTGGAGATGATTGTAATGGCCCCGGGATATTTGAGTTCGCGGATGGCTTGAATAAGGCCAAGAGTCCCGCTTCCTCTGTTTGGTGTTAGTGTGGATATCAAAGTATCTGAATGAGGATGTAACAAGACGTATGTTGTAGAAAACAGGGCCCACACTGGGATCACAGTGGCAGGGGAAGCACTGAGAACTACCACAAGGCAACCCCAAAATAAAAAAGCGCAAAATAAAAAAAGTCATCGCCTGGAAGCGATCCGGCAACTCGAGATCAAACGACACTCGAGCTGAGGATGGACGGGTTTCAAACAAGCGGCACGCCAATCGTCGCCAACGACAACCGCTTGGCCAAATTCTCGTCCATCCAAACATTGATACGGGACAGTGCAATATATCATGCGAAATGTGCATAGTCATGAAGTAAGAAAGACTGTGACTTACCCTCCAACCACAACAAGCTTCTCATCCGGCTGTGACACGCTACATTTCACCACTGGATTGCGCTGTCCTGCTTTGACATCTTCTTCTTTAGCAATGATGTACACGCCGCCTTCTTTTTCGAAGACTTCGAATTTGTTCAACGCATTAGGTGCTGGGGCGTCTTCTACATCGCCAGTTGTGACATTGAAGCAGGCTGTATAAGTAGTAGTTAGCTCTTTGTCCTCCAAGGGGGTGACCATTGTATTATCATAGACACTCACCTCCATGCCAAGGACAAGTAAGCCTTCCTTCTCCGGTAACAACGCCATTCTTTAAAGGTGCTCCGTAATGCGAGCACCGCGGACTGAGAGCATGGACTTTATCGTCTAACTTGATGAGAAGAACCTTCCCACCTTCAATACCTTCGATGTCGACCTCAATCTTGTCCAGAGAGTTGAGGGATGCGAAGGACTGAATATCTTTCAATTTGTATTCTTGGGACATTGTGGATAGAAAACGTTTGGAGATTGACTTGAATGATTGTGTACTGGATGAAGGGATAGAGGAAGTCAAGTGTCTGGATATGCGGGGTGAGGGGATATGGCGCAATGATGAGATGAAGTTACACCGCCGGGATAGTTGGGTAGACCATGTACTTAGACGGTACATGACTAGTAGGAGGAATGGAGGAAGAGAACTTGTTTAAATAGCAAAAGTACTCCTTTTGTTTCAATTGCAATGGAAAGATATGTGGTTGTTTATACTCCATGACATCACCTTATAGGATATAATCCAATCACTGACAAGCTATTGTCACCAAAAACTTGATCTGAAAATATCCAAAAAAAAATAATCTTGCATTTCTCGTTGCATTTGAATTAATTCTGAGAAATGTCCATAATGTCCATAATGTCCAGGAAATAAATGAATGTGCAATTCCTAGACGCCATCGCTCTGCACCATATACATACAGTAATCCAAATATCAACATTCAATAATCCACAAACCATATTTCAGAACTTTCGCGACGAGCGCTTCTTCTTCTGGCTGGAAGGACTAATACTCACTTCCACCATGTGTTGGAGTCTGCCCGTAGAAACTCTGGATGGACGCACAGATGAGCGAGGGGTGGTGACCTCAGGTTGTGAGTTCCCATACAATGCAGATTTGGAGCGCTGGGATGGGTTGGAACTGGAGCTGGGTTCAGGAGATCCACGCGGGCTGGAAGTGAGGTCAATCACTTCGGATGCCTGGGAGGCAGGGATTTGGGAGGTGGGTTTAGATTCATGCATCCGCTGGGATAGTTTGGAGCGAGTAGATGCAGCGGGGGATTCGGTTTTAAACAGCGAAGGGAATGAGGTTTGATTTTGAGACTGGGCATCCTGTTGGACACTCATTGATGGGATGGGAGAGCGCGGCTTGGATGCCCGTGGGGAGTCCAGCGGCGAGAAGTTGAGGTCCAGGTAGGAGTGTTGCAGACTGTCTTCCAATCGCTGGGGACTCTGATGATCTTCACTGTTGTCATCTTCGCTGTTGTCTTCTTCACTATTATTGGCTTCGCTATTGTTGGCTTCACCGTTGTTTTCACTGTCGTCTTCACTGGTGACAAGCGACTCGCCTGGCTTCGATGGCCCATTTCTTAATCTGCTCAAAAGATCTCTCCACGATTCAGAAGAACTGTTGGGAGTCGCACTGTGCTTTATCGTATCTCTTTGCGCAGACAGAGAACCATCATCACCGCTACGGCCAATGGTGGACAAAAGTGAGCCGGACTGAGGACCACTGTCCCCCGAATCGCCAGGCGGCATGAGATTTTCATTGACAACCTGGCGCTCATGCTCTTGATGATCAGACATTTCGTGGTCCTCGGGTTCATCCGCGAAGGATTGATTTGCAGAAGCGTATGACAACACCGAAGGATCCTCGTCCCGATTGACTAAGGCAGATGGCGTTTCTCCTCCGATGAGAGTATGGCCTTCAAGCTCACTACCGAGCTCAGCACCAGGGGTCATTTGCTGCCAGGATCGAGCAGAGTGAAACCCATTGAAAGAAGGTGATGGAATGGGAGGAGTGGCACTGCGTCCATCAGATCCGGTCTGGACTTGGATCTGCGGAAGGCCTCTACCAGGGGTTTGTTGGATAGGTTCATCGGGCGTTCCTGGGGATTCACTAGGGGACCCAAGATGGCTGACTTCATTCCCAATGGTGACAAAGGTTGTGTCGTCAAGGTACATTTCCTCAGATACGACTGGTTGGGCGTTCGGTACGGATTCCTGAACTACAGAGACACTTCGATATGTAAGCATGAGCCGTCAATCAGAGTCTATTTAACTGACATGCTACCTTCTCGAGTATTGTCCTGGCCCTCAGATTCTGCAATGGTCTGTCCTGCGGGTTGGAGAAGCTTAGGGTCGCTAAGTTCCGCAAAGGCAAGCTCGCGATAGCCGTCATCATCTTCTTCGTCATTGGCTAGGTCTGGTACTTCAAACTTGCTGAATTGGCGGGGCTCGTTATCGTAAGATGCTGATGGAGGCTTCCGGTCTCGCTTGGCCAGTAGTACATTAATAACTCCATGGTCTTTAACAGAGCGCACTTCAGCTACTCGGTACTCAGACATCTGAGGCTGCCAGTTCGTGGCTTTGGACATGTCTAACTGCCGGAATGCAATGATTGCGCCGACCTTCGCCTGGCTCTCAGTCAAATCAGGAACCGTACTGATGTCAGCGGGAACCGAAGGTAGGTCATCGAAGGTAGAGTTCAGCGCTTGTTCAGGCTCAGGAGCATCGTCATAAGTCATCTGGTGTCCTTCAGCTTCGCCCGCATAATGGCCTTCGTAGTAAGGAGCAGCTTCGCGTTCCAAATGACCTTCATAATGGGGATCGGCTTCACCTTTGTAATGACCCTCATGATTGGCTTGGTCATCTCCGCCTTGGTCTTCGCCGTAGTAATTTCCATTTTCATCGTATTCCTCCTGCTCCTCGTATTCTTCATAGACCTGAACACGCTGCTTTCTTTTTCGCTTCTTATTCGGGCCTTTGAGCTCACGAATCAATGCATTGGCTTCTTGGTCCCAACGTTGAACAAAGGGATAAGGAGGTGCAGTCATATCAACTTGGGGATAGAGACACTCGACAGCACGAATGACAAGCTTGTTTTGCCAATCAATGTCGGATGCATCTTCATCCTCTTGCATCTGGTCGTTCCCTTCTTGGGCGTCTTGCGTAGAAGGTTTTGTTCGGCGCCCGCATGCACTAGCTTTGGCAGCAAGCTTCCTCCGCGTTGCTTCTTCCTCTTCCTTGGTCTTTGGGGTTCGCATTCCCAGAGATCCAAACAGCATGCGTCGTGAGCTAGCTATGTCCAGGGTACGTCTGTTGGAAGGCTCCTGTTCCAGCTCCTCACCGGGCACTTCTTTTGAAACGGGGGTTTCTTCAACGGTAGATGCAGCGGGTGGGACATTTTCCTTCTCCGATGTCTCACTCACATCAACACCTTTACCCGACGCAAGATCGCGAAGCAGTTTCTCGCGCCTCGCTTCAAACTCTTTCTTCTCCTGTTCTTTCTGCTCTCTCTTTTGCTTCTTGATGGAAGATTCGGCAGATTCTTGTTCCGGTTCCACAGGTAGTTGGGGTTTCACAAATGGCTCCCGGTTGAGATATTGTTCCGGAGTATGCCAGCCTCCATGCTTTTCTTCCCACTCCCGCAATGCATCGAAGTCTGCATGTTCGGGGAGAGCACCTAGCTCCTTGAGCTTGGATAGGCGGCGGCGCAGTTTCACGCGGTTATTACTCTTTTTGGTGCGTATAGACCCTCCACCAGGAGGGCCTACAGAAACCGGCTGTTGGACTTTTTCGATAGGCCGCGCGGCTTCCTCTTCGGAATCCGAGTCTGATGAATCCGAGTCCTCGGAGCTTGAGGATGAATCAGAATCAGAATCAGAAGATGCTTCCGCTGCAGGCTCCACCTCGCTCGAAGAGTCATCATCATCGGAATCATCATCAGAATCGCTATCTGAACAAGATGCAGATGAATCGGATAAATCAGAATCGGAATCAGAATCAGAAGTTTCCGCAGCACTTTCCTCGACCTGTGGGGCCTGCGGAGGTTTTGGGAGATCAGGCATATCCTCATCCTCCTGCTCATCTCCCTTGTTGAATCTCACAGCCTTGGAGGCCCTGGGAGATGAGTCCTCCGCACGAGACCGCTTGCTGGAAAGAGACGAGGCAGCTGCAAGTGACCCCTTAGAAGTTGGTCGCTTGACTATCGAGGGAGCACGCAGTGGATGTCCACTAGCATTCTGAGTCTGGTTCCTGATATCAATAAATTGAGAAGGTTCTTCAAAGTCCTCTTTGAGAGCTTGGAGCTCGCTCTCTAACTCATCCTCATCAATTCCGGGCATTTCAGACATATCCGCTTCACTGTCAGATTCCGCGGAGTGGTCAACAGGATGACGAATAACCGTACCCAGGGACTCTTCATGTTCAGCGGGCATAATAGACAGCTCCTTTCCGAAACCGGTGTTAGGAGGTGGAAGCCACTCTCCATCACCCTCCTCGTCAGCATGGACTTCCTCGGTGACAAACTCTGGGGCGTTCTCCCAGCCTGAAAAAACCGTGCGTCGTTTCTTCCTTGGGGGTATGGTAATCGCAGGTCGTGTAGAGGTAGTTCTCTTCAAGAACGGCGACCCGAAAGGCACGCCGTCGATCAGATGCTTGCCCTCGGCAGTGATTTGGTGGCGGCCACACAGCCGTCTGGTCCGAAGGTCTGCCAATTGAAGGGCACGGATGCTAAAAAGGGATAGGTTAGGCAAGCTCACGATATTAGAAAGGCTTGTAGATGCACGTACACAACTTCGTCTCCATCTCGGAGCAAACCGTCAACCTCCATAAAATGAAGGCATTCCGAGCCAGCCACTTCGACAACATAATCTTCCAATCCCCATTGGCCACTGAACTCCGCATCGAAGACATTGGGTTCGGTTTCCAGCGGTACGACTTCATTTACATCCTCGAGAAGTTGTGCGATCGTGTACCCGCCATTGGAGAAGGCGATATTCGGGGTGCGAGAAGATGCGACAGCTGCGGTTGATGCTGGGCGATGAGTACCATATTCGCCTAGCACAGAATTAGACGAAGTTGTCGTCCAGAGAATGCGTGTGACCGGCAGGCCATGGCGCGATATAACAAGGTGGAGACGCATGGTGGATGGTCAGTCGCGAGCTAAATCATTGACGCGGTGAATGGACTTTTCCGTGTTGCTGTTGAGGGTTTCGAGGTGGGTACTCGGATGTGTTGTTTCGGTGCAAGGGTTAGTCCAGTTATTCCGAGCTGGTTTAACAGATTCGATTAAGATTGAATATGAGAATAGGTGCCCATAGGGTTGGACATATGCTCAAGTGGAAAGAGAAAAGCAACCGATCAGAGCTCAAATCGCGCGGAGGGCGCGCTAACCGCTTTGAGAATAGCGCACATCTGCTAGTTGCCTATTCTCCCATACCTATTTTGGGCTTTTGATACTACTATCGGCCTCATTGAATTGGGCCTATTTTAGGCTATATATAAGTAGGAATTCATGCATTTAGCGAGTGCTACACTATATGAATCAAAGTATAGATCCCTTAGATATCAACACCTTCATAGACCTATGCATTTCAACAAAAAAATAGCCTGAAAAACACTTGATTTGATGGGGTATCGAGTTCAAAGATAGCAATAAAGCAGTTTCTTATGGGTAATACTATTAGTGCAGGAATATCCGCTGGCTAAGTGCCATGAAGCTCCAATTAATTTCAGAACTGGATACTGAGCATGAAAGAGGAGTGTGAAACCAAAGAACCTATTGAGCCCAATAGCATCAGAGATCCGGACTTCGCGGGACAGGCTTTCGGTTAGGAACACCCAAGTTCATAGGACGAAGATTATTCCGTGAGGTCTGGCGTTGCACAACCTGGGGAGCGTTCAGGTGATTCCCCGCAAGAGGCTCGTATTGCGGCGGGCTTTCTTCATCTACGGTGGTCCGAGGGATTTTCATCATGCTGGCTGGACGTCTCACGGGAGATGCAGGAGGTGATCCAGATTGGGATTCCGGCGGTGTGGTAGGTAGCATGTCGAAGGACTCCGAGGAAGCACGATTGCCTCGGCGACGAGGCGCCGAGGATCCTTCAGCCGCGGGTCCATCCTCAAGCGCCTTACCCAGTTGGGCTGCGTACTTGGCATCAGCTCCAGATTCTACTGTGCTTTGTGATGAGGCGTCTGGTGGGTGATACTCGCGGCGTGGTCCATCCACTGGACTCAGGTGGTCTCCCATGGCATCCTCGTAACTGGGGGGTGCATCATCATATACATCGCCAGAATTGACGGGCACAGGCTCCCCATTTGGCCGTGGTGGTATGGGTGGTCGGCTGGTTCCCACCTCTACTGGCAAGCTGGGCTGTGGTTTCACTTTAGAGGTTGATGGCTTAAGTGATGCAGCGGCCATGGCATCTAGGAGTGCCTGTGGTGGAGCGATCCCAGAAAATACTTTGACTGGCATTCTCAGGGGAAGAACAATAAGTTGAGGCTATGCCATGGTCAGCCAAGAGACAGCTCTAGGGGCTGGCGATTCAACATACCTGCATTTCCCGGGCATTTCCATGAGTCAAGCCGAGTCGGACTTCCAGCTCATAAGATCTTTCAATATTACATGTCTCAAAAGATGGTGCCACCGAGTTAGGCAAGGGATACTGATTCCACAGTTTCGGATCAATAGTCCATTCAGTGCCTACGGGATCCTCTGGCTTGCCTAACGGGATACTCATATTGCTGCGGCTCATGATAACCCATGAGCCGCTTTCAGTGCGGCTGAGGTCATGGGCCAAAATTTTCGTGTAAGATATTAGTTCCACCTGCAACATCTGAAGGAAAATTACGTCTGGTCCCTCGGTCAGCTTTTTAGCGAGGAGACGGAGGGGGACAGGTTCGTTGCAAGTGAGAATAGAAGGGTTCGGGAGCCGAGCATCCACAGACACCCGGGGAGGCTCTGCATATATCTCTCCGGGTGCAGAATGCCCCCGTGAGAAGATACTCTTCTTCTTATGCGGAGCATGGACTTTGGAGAATTGGTGTTGCCGCCTGGCGTAGGTTTCCTCATTGGGATTCCCGCCTCTTGGTGGCTCAATTGGAAGAAAATTAAGAGGCACGATCTAAGAGATCAATTAACGAGTGCGACAATTGCATAGCAACCAAGTATATTACTTACCGATCTAATGTTTTCTTTGTAGAACTGCGGCCGAATGACTGTGGCCTTGACGAAGTATTTAATATCTGCTACTCCTGGAAACCCGCTTAATGACGGCGGGAGAGTCTTTCTGACGTGTCGGTTGGTGTCTTTAGCTACCTCGACTTTCAATCCGGAAAAGTTCAGATTGGTGAGCATGCTGTTGGTAGTGCTGCATGAATTGTTGAAAGGGAACTAGTGGAACGTTAAAAGGGTTATAACTGCCATATGATTGACTCCATACCTTGAATTCGAAAGGGTACTCATATGACCCTGCGGCAAATGTATATGAAGGCGCAGGAGATCCATTCTGCATCACACCTGGTGTCGGGAAGACAGTAGCAACCTTGTACAAGATCTGCAATCGTTGGTTAGCCAATGTTCCAGCTAATATTTTATCCCACCAATAGGGATGATAAACCACATCCTCTCACCTTGTGGACCTCAAGCTCCGTTCGCTTTTTGTCTGAGTGCACATTTTGTGGATTCCTAGGACCCGATAGACGAGTACGGCTCTCGCACTCCAATTTGACCTGGATACCCCCGATCGCTGCTTCAGTCGGTAGCTGTAGCACAACCTTGCCCCTGAGGAAGTCCAGATTTGTATAATGGGTGTGGTGGCTGTCCAAGACGATAATTGCGGACATGGCGGCGGGCGCCCGGGCCCTAGCGGGGCTCTATCTTCGTTTGGTTGCGGCGTTCGAAGGATCAAATGAACAAACACGATGGCTGAGAATAATGCGACAAGGATTAAGCTCTCGTGAGATGCAAATAATGAACGGCTCGGTGCGAGGGGATGTTGTGGGGGCTGTGAGATGGGGGGAGGGAATGCGGATTATATGTGAACGATCCCGGAATGACGTTTCGAATGTTCGCAGATCAACTGATTGCCAAGCAACATAAAACTGCCACAGTCTCGTCCAGTTTCAGGGACTTTTGCAAAATCAAGGCTAGAAGGTTGGATTAGGCATATATGCTGCGCCTCAGTCATATCACAGCCACATTTTTGAGACAAAGGGGGCTATTTCGCGAGCATCCAGACACTATTAGTTCAACGGTTATGCGGAGTCATCTGTACCCTCTTCCCGAGGGCCATGTCTATTTTGATAAATCATTTCGAAATTGAATAATCTATGTACTTTACTAAATGATTTCACTGTACAAAAAATATGTCCATATGTAGGCAAAAGGAAGGGAAATACCCGGAACTTCCACTCCAGGCACCAGAATTTCCATATCAAATCCGACCCACAGCAATCCACTGTAGGGCTGTATATCTGGGTTTGTTTTCTCAAAGTCCCTCCTTTGCCAGCATGTCTAGTGAACAGGCTTGTTAGTCTCAAGTAAGCTGACCAGGCTGTAACACATACCTGCAATGTCCAAGTAAAATGCGATGGCATTAAACCTGCAAGAACATCAGCCTAACTCCAAAAATACAATGCGCAGTCAACTAACTTTCGCCTGTTGCCTGTCACTTCGCCGACTAGCCACTTGAGCCGGTTGGTCCAGTTGATCAAGTCTAGATGGCTCACGCCCATAAGGGTTCCTTTGTACCCTGCATCGCCTCCCCACCGGCTACTAGACACACTGACTAGGCCATCATTGGGTCCTTCGATCTCCGCAAGTACTCGGTGTGAAAGCCGAAAAGCGGACCATATACTTGGATCCACTGCTGCTCCATAGGAGAAATATCTGGGACATGTTGGCAGGGCGTAAAGTGGAAAAAAATATATGGCACTTACCTGACATCTTCCACATCTGGGGTATTGGGATTAAAGGTCTCGGTCATGTATTTTCGTGTCAGTTGAGCGAATGCACCGGTCTCGACATTTAGTCGATTAAGGGCATAGTAGATCTGTGGTAGGCGATCGGCTACACAAAACAATAAATGTTATCATCTAAGATATCCCAGTAAGAGTTTCAATAGTGACAAACCTCCAATTTGGTCAAGTACGTAGTCCGCCACAGATGATCCTGCTACACAGTTAGCAGGAAAGCGAACGAAAAATCAATGTCGTGCCAGACCTCGATGTGGAGATGCAATAGTGGTCAGAGACAAGACTTTGAACTTCTCCGGTCGTATGTGACTAATCATATATCGCGAATCCAGACCACTTTACAATCTATTAGCTTGCGCTGTATAGTACGATCCTCTTGATATATCTCACCCCTAATCATAGGTAAGCATTAACTCCATCGTAGCGATTGAGGGGTCTCACCATGCTATGCCTATACAGAAGTTAGTCAGAACATGCCGATACATGGAACTAGGAGATGAAGGTAACATACGCAATGATATTAACATCTTTCCCTCGAGCCCCGGCCTCGATATTTCGGGTCAATTGTTCAGCCCGTGCCTCAATAGAGCCCGACGGGGGCACTGTCGCCGTAATAACTTCAATACCTCGCGCTGTCAGTGCCTCTTTAATTCCACGCCAGTACTGAACGCCGGGTAAATATGGACCAGCAAGGCGTATTTCATCAAACCCCAGCAAGCCATGGGCGAGAACGACAGGGTATTTTGGGGCAGCTAACCGCGAGTCAGCAAATATCGACACGATTCAATCAAAAGAAACAAACCGTATTTATCACGGATGATAGAGTACTCATCGACGATTACTTTGCCATGGTCCTCTAATCGTGGGTCGAGAGTTGGTCTGGGTCTATATGAAGACCCATGATACCACCTGTTGTTAGAGTGACATATAGTTTGAAGGTATGAATAGCAGGCGATTGAAGACCGTTTGAGTGCATTCGGCGTACGAATTGCATAGTTCATTGTTCGGCTTCGTCTGCAGATAGGTTGTCGAATGAGATCTGGCGCGGAATGACGCAATGGGAAAACGTGGTTGGTGCCTCAGGCCAAAAGTGAACTATACCTCAATTACTCCAATCGCGTAGCTTGCGTAAGACCAAAAAGATGTGCACTCAGCTAGCTAATCTCGCAGTTATACACTACCATGAGTGCCTTTTTTTACGTGGGGAGGGTTTAAAGCAAGAATCAATCATTCCAAGTTCTAATAATAGACAAAATTCAAACGCTAGAGCCTGGCCAATATTCGTATGTTCGAAGACTGCCTCCCGACTACATCGAAGCACAGACTTGACCATGCCGCTGAGACACGATACCAGCCACGGAGAGCTAATTGTTGAAATGCTTCTAACATAAAAGGACTCGTGCAAGGCATCCAAGAGCGATCATAGCCCACTGTGCGCTTAGAATATCATCCAAAGAATTAGCTCGGAATTGAATTACAAGCACACCTGAATCAAACACGAAGACTCAGGGGCAGTCGTAATGGTGGGCGTATCTATTTTATGACGGAGAAGGTTAGTTACTATGACTAGGTGTAAAACGCTCGAGGGGGGTTGGAACAATTGTTTAATAAATATGTACCTCCTCATCTCTTGTAGCAATTCTGTAGTGGCTTGTCCCGGTTCCTTCCATCCAATCACCCTTTTGGCCCACTGAGAACCACGTTGAACCACTCGCTCCCACTGAGATAGTCGGTAACGTAGTCCAGAGTCTGTTGATTCCCATGGCTTTATTGGTCTCTCCCTGTCTGACTGTATATAAGGTCCGCCGACAAATCGACGGCGAATTAAAGGCTCATAGTCCCTGTAGAACTCCAATCTGGACTTCTCGGTAGGCTGCAGGGTAGATCCCTCCATCTTGACCGACGTTTCTCGGAAGGGATACCAATATGCAGACCTCAAGATAACCGGGAAAAGAAGTAGACTTGAGACAATGATTCTCAGGATAAAGCCGCTGGTGTCCGCAGGAAACTTTTGTCCCAAGGGCTCTTTATAACTGTCTGAGATCATAGTTCCCGAAAGCCTCATTTCTTGCATTCGGACACGTTACATCGTAGATATAACTGGCAAGCACCACAAGTAGCGTGCTTGCACAGCCGCTCTCTCACATGGAGCAACTGTAGCCATTCGATGGGAGAGTGTAGTCAAGGCATACTCCAAGGCTGTTGCAATGAGACAGAAACCGCAGCAGTAACGGAAACTGTAAATATATTTTCCTGTGCCGCGATTGCCTGTTGTTAGGGCGATCAAACTGCTGGAGGAAGGGAGTGGCCCAGAAGGAAGGCAGGTAGGATGAAGTGGTGACTCGTTGCCCTAGATCCATTCGACAGGGATAAGTACTAAAACGCTCTCTGGGTTCAGCCAGCGCAGTGGATCGTCCTGCGCCTCTCGATGTCGTGCTCTTGTGCCGAGTAAGAATACGTACGGATATCGGGGAGTACTGTCTGACTTAATGGACCAGTGATATATTTGAAGTTGGTCGAAACATAGCCCTCTATAATAGGCTGTGGTAGGCTGGGTCAGTAAGGACGAATGACTGATTTGTCGATCAATACTAAAACTTGCCGCATATCGAAAAGCCTTGATTCAAGTCAGACCCCCAGGAACACCATGGGATAGGCATCAGACGTGCGTGTTCCAACTCCAGTAATGTCCATCCACATCATATACACAGAATTAAACCAAAAATAAATTGATATTGGATATCGAGGAACAGACACGCAAGCGCATACACGCGAGGAAAGAAAAGATGACCCAGGATATCTACATTACGCCTTGATCTTCTCCGATGCCTCAGGCTTGACGTCAGTCGTCACGCGAATGAGGTCTGCGACCACCTTGTCGCCCTGCTTCTTGCCGGCGTCTTTGATCTCCTGGAGCTTGGCTTCGGCTTCCTTGTCGGCCTCCTCCTCAGATACCTTGTATCCGCTTGAGTGCTAATGAGACCAGTCAGCTTAGAACTGTGGGTGTCTCCTGTTATGGCCGCCATTTAGAAGCTGTATCTCACCTCGCCCTCAAACTTCTTGTACTCCTCTTCCTTCTGGTTCCTGTATTCTTCGATCTCCTTCTGGGCCTCTGACTTGGCGTCTCTTATCCGCTGGGTACGGTCTGTATGATTGCGAATAGTTAGTTCGATGGAGCAAATGATGACAGGTAAGTTCGTATTGCGTACACTCTCTGGCTAAATGTAATGTGACGTATTAGTGTCTGTGATAGCCAGCGATGAGGGGTAAGCATAAGTTGGACTTACCTTTCTGCACAATCTTCTGGGCCTCTCTCTCAGCCTGATAGCTCCGTAATTAGTATCTCAATGCTGCGCTCAACATACAACGAAGACGTACATCGAGGAGGGTCTGAATGCCCGCGGAGTTCTGAGCCGACTGTTGTTCACCGTTAGCAGCTGGCCACCAATCCCAATATAGATTGCTCACCATATTTGCTAGAAACCTCTCAGCTTTGGAAACAGGGTAGAAGGAAAATAAGGCTGGATAGGGACGATTAAACGGCGAGTCTGGAGCTCTGAGCCTAGGTCGATCGGAGCCACGCATCGTTCCCCAGAGCGGTGGGGGGTTCTGCCATCAAACGCCGCCCGGTGATCGATTGATCCCGGGCGGTCCATTTAATGAACAGCTAACAAGCCAAAACATTGTTTGTGGTCATTGCCCGTTGAACCTTTGTGTCGAGCTGTGCTATCACTTGTCCTGCCATGTCTCGCGCATCAAAACTTACATTGGCAGCCACTGGCCTCGGCACAATGGGTATTGTCTGGTTTGTCCACTGGGCACAAGAGGCAGATAGAGCGGTATGTTACAGCTGAGGTTATCTATGACTAGTGAATACTTACTTTTTGTGATTTTAGGCTATGCACAGAGGCGTTGAGCGTGATATGGAAAAGCAACGTATCCGACTAGAACGCCAGGCCGACTTTGAAATGCAAAAGGCCCTCGAACAGGAGTACCTTAAGCTCCAGACGGTACACAGCACCACCGGCGACTCAAATACAACCAGCCAGAACACGAGTACAGGGTCATAATGGAAAAGTTTTACTGTGGATATTGTGGTGTATGCTTATGCGTGCTCCAGCTTGCGATTCAATCTGGATGCGCTCTGGTATATCAATGAAATCAACGGCGGCCAGGTCACCAATGCATGGGAACAAGGAGTTAAAAGTTGTTTGTATTTGCGATGTACAAATATTCGAAACGTGTGGTGTATAATATGCCCTCATCTGTACCATATAATATGACATCGTCCCTCTACTAGTTTAGGTATTGTCTTGCCGATCTCCTATAGTCAATGTTGTAGTTTCCAAGTAATTTGGTTTTTTTTTAATCTCAATGGAGCCTAGGGCTCAATGACATATACAACGCTGCGTTGGCAATAACTAGAGGCTCGGTTAGTACGTTTTTTGGTTTATAATATTACGATGGGGTCATGCAATTTGAATGGTCAGTTCAATGCTCTATAATCTATCAGGTGCTGCCGTCAGTCGCATGAATGTTTCTTTGGAGAGCTGGAGACATTGCTTCTTATCATCAACCTGCACCGAACATCCATCTGCTCGATCTTCCTGCAAGTCACCGTTGTGGGCTTCATACCTGCCATGTGGGTAGTGGGTCGTACGCAGCACAACCCATTTTCATGGGTTCTAGAATAAATGAGCTTTTTCTTACTCCGTACAATGATCAAACTAAGATCTATTTATAAATGAAGTTAATTGGACTTTATTCGTCGGTAAGATTCCATGTGGCCGAAAACGGCATTCCCAATCCGGAAGTATGAATTCATACAACTCAAGAACCACCAATCAAGCATTTCAACTCTTCATCTGGCAACCGTCTCATATTACAAGAAAACATTTATTCTATCTTCCATCTACCATGAAAAGTCAGATACCTACGCGGTGATGTCGGCCATGATTTCACACCCAATGGCATTCAAACAACGACCCTTCTACAGCATCCTGATATTTCTATCAGTGATATGTGCTTTTTGGGTTACTACCAAATCCTACAAACTCTTTTATATCCAGGAATCAGATTATGCTTCTAGCAACAAGTTGCAAAGAGTCGCCAAAGTATCCATGCTATACGGAGAGACGAACCACATGTACGAAAGAGCGCTGCAAAGCCATGAACGCCACGGGAAACGATGGGGCTACCCCATGCATATCCTGCGACAGGATATCTCGATCGGATTTTGGAACAAGCCGAGCTATCTTCTATCACTGGTGATCAGTGAAATGGCCAAGCCAGCCGGCGAGAGAATAGAGTGGTTAATGTATATCATGTTCTTCTGCATGTTATTGAAAGATACTGACTTTTGCAGGTGGGTAGATGCAGACTCAATTATACTGAACAACGATATTCCCGTGGAGATCTTCCTTCCGCCATCAGACCTGAAAGATATCCATCTGGTGGCAAGTCAAGACCAAAACGGCCTTAATACGGGGATTATGTTCCTCCATGTCCATCCTTGGATGATAAGTTTTCTTACCGAAACATTGGGCTACCCTCTTTATCTGCCTAATATTGACCTCGGTCGATCTGCCGACCAGGAAAGCATGAGACGTGTTCTCAACAAGACGACCGGGGGTCCAAAAGGGCAGGGTTATGCAGATGGAGTTTCTTACCTGCCACGGCCATGGATCAACACTTATGAATGGGACTGGGCCTATGAAGGCAAAAGAGGAGATCTTCTCGTGCACTTCCCGGGTCTAGAGGAGCGCCGATGGCCGCACATGGCTAAATGGCTGAATATTGTCGAGACGACTCCTCAAGAGTGGAACTTGCCTCTTGAGGAGACTGGGTATATCAACAAGACTACAATGTACTGGTCGCAGATTCGAAGTGCGAAGGAAAGTATCAAGTCTGCAGAAAAGAAACTGCTGTCTGGGGTGTCTGGTGAGGCACTATCTCGGAGTACCAATGAGACAGCCGGTGCACTCAAGAATATATTGCGTGAGAAATCAGACAATATGGAGCTGGTACAGCAACAGACCCAGGACCTTAATGCGTTGATTGGGATGGCATAGTCTTTTGTTGAAGATTCATGCTCAATGTGGGATAATTCGCTATTAGCTGGTTCACAATGCTTTGTTAGTATTTCAGACCCTTTGTCTATTTAGCAAATTTCCTTGCTGGTTCGTTCTCTCCAGACTTTACCTGGACATCTATGAGGAGCTCTCCATATAACATAGACCAAATTGACCACACTCCCCAATTTCCAACATCATAGAAGAGTTTAAGGTGGCTTGGCACTGCTCTTGCTGACCGAATACTCATTCACATGCGATGGGGCACTTGGCATGGGGATCTTCGCTTAGACAGCCAGCTGTGGAATGAGCTGCAGCGTATTATAATCATCAGCTTCCATCGTTTGCAATTGAACTATGAACCGAAGAGATGGAGGTTCGGACAAAAAGGAGGAACATTGTCGGAACGGAAATATATTCGAATAGCTTTTAGTCAATGACACACTATATAAGTTGTCTAATCAAGCTGGGAATGAGAATTAGTCAAACTTCTTTGCTCTACCGAGTAAAAAGCAGCAAGAGGTGAGCACTTAGATGGAAGGGCAGAGGAAATTTGGTAGATATTTCATACCTACTTCATCAACATTATGTCATATCAATCACATACCCGTGGACTATGTCAAAGCTACAGACCAAGAACTCCATTTGTAATTCATCATCTCCATGCGTCCAGGATCAGGACTTATGTTTCCTCGCCGAATCAGCGCCGTCTTTGTTTCGAGTCTGATGGTGTGTGCGTTCTTTTTGGTCTACTACTATTCGAACAGTGTATTTATTAATCAAACATCCCAGTAAGAGCCCATTCAGACAATACTATTGTAATTGAACACTAATTTTGGCCTAGAAAATACTTCCGATGGGCTGTTGAAAGCTCCTCACCCTCCTCCACGGTCCACAAACTATACAGTCCTTATATACACCCCATTACTAGAACCATATTCATTGGCCACACAGGGAAAGAATTTTGGCTATCAGAACCACTGAGGTTCACCGAACCATTAGGAAAGAAGGTCCTCATTTTGGACGTCGACAGTCGCAATCTTGATGGCCCTAAAGGACTTTTGAGCAAAGCTCCATTGAACGCAACCGAACTCCCCCCAGATACTAGTGGTAGACTCAACCACTTCATGTTCGGTAAATAGTCACACTTCTATCTGTTTCAACTTATGACTGACGGGCGTAGCAATGATTCACGGCTACGACTACCGACTAGTCCAAATACCCAGGGCAATTGGGCTGACTGGAACATGGACCAAAGTCACTGCGATCAAAGAAGCGCTGAAGCACTATGAATATATCGTATTCATAGATGCAGATGCTATGATTCACTATCCAAATCTACCCCTCGAATGGCTATTCAACTACTGGGAGATAACTCCGGAGACTCTAGTTGCCATGGCGCTCGATCCAGAAGAACCCCACAACCATGATTGGAATGGCCGAACACTTCTCAATACCGGCTTTATTATTGCCCAGCAAAGCCCTCGTACTAAAGCACTCTTTGAGGCATGGGAGACTTGTCCCGCTGAAACGCGCTATGCAGACTGCGGCAGATGGGGTCGGGAATGGCCACATGAGCAAGCTGCATTTGGGAACCATGTTAGGTATGACTTCAACAGATCGGAAGATATTCGGGTCTTGTCATGTGCAGAAGCAAATGGGTGCCCGGAAGTCGCATCTACCGGATGTATTGGGGAGTTCGTGAGGCACTATTGGGGTGACAAGACATCGCTTCCAGCTGCTGTGGAGGATGCGGTCTTGCAATATTTTTTGCCGCAGTTGCATGCGACCTTTTATCGCAATTCTCGTACTGTGGTGGTGAATAGGACTGAGCGTGCATTTGCATGAAACCTATATGGAAGGAAAGGATGCACTGGGAAAACATTTGCATTTAGTCGCATGGTATATAACACATGGAGGGATCACTAAATTGGCTGTGTACTTTGGGGGAGCAAATGTACGATAGGTTCTTTTGTTCGCTTCTATATATACTATATGGAAATGTCGAGTATCAAGATGATAAAAGTTTCAGAGAGATGATTCAGATGAAGCTGTCCTAGGTTAATATTTGCTTCATGGGACTTCCTATAAATACAATGTATCACACAAGTCATACCAAATTAGCGGCCTGTCCTATATCAAAACTGCCCAGCACATACAATGAGGCCGGCTACTGTCGGAGGCCGGTAGCATTCCGGCCTCCGAACGCTAGGGAAGTTAAAATTTGTACTTATCGTCCAATCAAAATGCGAGATCTGGGGATCTCGGCTTGGCAGCGCATGGACTATAGGACATACATCATGACTTGAGTAGACCACATTTGGCCATTCATCTATATAACTCATCACTGAATGGCCAATTTCATCATTATAAGCATTTTAAACACTCAATTTGGCATCAGCCACCATAATCTTTTATCAAATCCCAGGCAAAGCAGTCAATTCGCCCTTCAAAGCCCATGCTATATCGGGACTAGCGCCACCCCGTGACCGTCCTCTGCCCTCTCTCACTGGGCAATTGTATAGTTCATCTAGAAGTCGAGATGGATGTCAAAATATCTTATTCTACCTGAAAATACTCGTATAAAGTACCTCAGATGCTATATAAGATATATAAAACTAATTTCCGTCATGCAGCACCGGATGTCACCTGGCCCACGCTATCTCCTATTCTCTTTCGTAATGTGGGCTTGAGGCCGGAATTGTTACCGGCCTCAAAGTATTATAAGAATCTGCTCCTCACCCGCACAAATCCTCAAGAATTCAGTTCTCTTTTCATCTCCCAAAGTCTTCTGGCTACTTCCTCATCATTTTTTACCCATTTCCCCAACTTCCTAGGCTGTTGACTTAGTCTTTGGCTTATACATCCACACTCTTCCCTATACTACCCCAACACATCTTTGTTCCATCCACATAGGCTTAGAGTTGTCTTTCTATTTGGTTCATCTCACATCATCATGACTCGAACCAATGTGCCCTACCCCTCCCCTGCTACCCTGAAGCGGTTCCCTCATATCCATGATGACCCTTCATCTATCTCCCACTCCTTGGACCCTTTCACCATCACCACCAAGACAGGGTTCTTGCCCTATGAGACTGCCCCTGTTGAACTTCCAGAGGCTTTCAGTGCCCTGCTGTCCCTGGTCAACCGTCTCCCTGTCGTCAGACTCGATGGCAAGCCTGGTCTGTTGGCTACCTATGAGCTTGGCCCTGCTGTCAAGGCCGAGCTTACCGACCTGACTGATGAGGTTGAGAAGCTGGTTCTCGCCGATGGCTCGCATGATCGCTTTACTATTGCTGCGGTCTTCCGGGACTATACCTTCCTGGCCTCGTCTTACCTGCTCGAGCCTTGCTGGGAACACTGGAACAAGGACCCGGAGGGTGGCTATGGACTTGGTCGTGATGTTTTGCCCCAGTCTATTGCCCGCCCCATGTATCGCTGTGCTGAGATGTAAGTCTCCTATTTCCTTACCATCCTTTTATTGCTTCCCCATTTGTGAATTATATTTATACCGTCTTCACCATATGCCAACACTACAACTAACAATCATCCCTAGCCTGAACCTACCACCTTTCATGTCATATGCTGCTTCTTATGCGTTGTTCAACTATACCGTTGCCGACCCTGCCAAGGGTCTGAGCGAGTACTCGAACCTTCGTCTGATTCGCTCCTTCGAGAAGGGTCTTGACCCTAAGAGCTCCGAGGCAGGCTTCATCCTGACTCACGTCGACATGGTCAAGGAGACCGGCCCTCTCATCGCCGGTGTCTTGAAGGTGGTTGATTCCCTCGAGCAGCATGGCTCCCGACAGGAAATCAACGATGGATTCCGCGAGATCCTAAAGTCGATGGAGAAAATTGAAGCATCCATGGAAGGTATGCAACCCTAATTACTCCGAAGGCTCCATCTTTTAGACATTCCAAACTGACATTAAAATAGACATGTGGGGTAATTCCAAGCCATCGGAATACCTCTCCTTCCGCGTCTTCATCTTCGGCATCACCAACCAATCCATGTTCCCCAACGGCGTGGTTTATGAAGGCTGCGAAGACAACAAACCCCTCTACTTCCGCGGCGAGAGCGGCGCCAACGACAGCATTGTAAGCAATCCAACCAAGAAAAGGAAAATAAGGACCAACTCAAACTAACCGCACCCTAGATTCCCCTCCTAGATCACCTCTGCGAAATCCCCATGCCCGAAACACCCCTCACTAAAATTCTCCACGAGTTCCGTGCCTACCGTCCCCTCCCACACCGCGAATTCCTGACCTATATCCGCGAAAAGTCTGAAGAAATCGGCGTCCAGAACTATGCCGTCCAAGATTCGGAGACTGCAGTCCTCTTCCTGCGCACGCTGAACCACATCCGCAGTTTCCGCTGGCGACACTGGTTGTTCGCCCGTGAGTATATCATTCGTCGCACGCCTCATCCTACCGCTACTGGCGGTAGCCCCATTGTAACTGTAAGTGAAATCTGATCTCTCCGTTTGAGTCAAGCTAATTGCTTCGGTGTTCAGTGGCTCCCCAATCAACTTTCCGCTGTTATGGAGCTCATGGTCAAAATCTATGATGATAACCTTGCGCCGAAGGATGGTGTAGCGGTTGTCGATGGTAAGGAGGATCTTATTGCCTCGCACAGGAAGCAGGTTGAGCCTATGATGGAGCTTGTGCGTGATCAGAAGGAGAAGTTGGCTAGGGAGGTCGAGAGGTGGTGTCAGGAACGGGGGGTTTAGATTGCTGGTTTTGATCTTCGTATTGTCTTTTGCTTTAGATTTTGAAACTGCTCTAGGGTGTAAAACCGTGTTGTCTTCAATTTTTGTGTGTGTAACTGTCGGTTTCCGAGGTTATCTTGACTATTTATCAATTCAAGCCGATGTTTCACAGTTTTTGCTTGGCACATGCTCTATTCCTGTTTTCTAAGTACGAAATTCCAATTGTAGGACTATAATTCTTGGGTAGCAAGGTCAAAGTCGCAAGCTCGAAAGAGTTTAACCTTTATATTTTGCATCAGATGATGCCCATGTATGGGTCTGTGCTAAATAGTTTGCCCTTTCTTTCCTTGAGGCAGACTAATAAGCCCCAGCTTACGATACGTCAAACATAATATGGATGAATAAGGCAGCTTCGAGATCAATTTCATATTAAGCTCATCTATTGAGCAAGGGTAATGCCCTAGGAGATTGTCTATTGTCAAAACGCTAAAGAAAAGTATCCAAATATGCAAAGCTCTTAAGTGACAATCTTGAGTCCCATTTGCCGTCCATACTCAATAGCATCACGAGACACATCATCACATCCCTTGATGATTAAGCCCTCAACCTTTGGAGAGTCGGTTTCATTGTTCCGGACATCCGCGATCATGCGAATGGCACAGCCGGTGATTCTCGTCTGCGACAAGTCAAGGATTTTCAAGTTCGGCAATGCCGCCCACAGATAACCGATGCTGCCATCGTCCATGCCAGGCATGCAGACAACTCCCACTTCAGTTATTTGTTGCAGTGCTGGGTTCTCTCTTTTGACGTCAAGGAGGATATTAATGAAGGTATGAGCATCGATGTTGTGGCATAGGTTCACATGAAGTGTTCGGAGGGGGGCCTTAGAATGAAGTAGGAACAAGGAGAGAGTGGAGGGGTTGATCCATGGCGTGTCATTGAATACCAGGGTCTTCAGGTTTGGAAGTTGATTCTGCCCTGGTGTCAAAAAAATTCCAAGGCGAGGAGGATCCATGGACCCTGAAAACAAGCGTAGGGTCTCAAGGCTTGTTGGAAGGATTGAATAAAAGGTATGTACGATAGCTGCGCCACAAAGTTCTAGTGTGCGAAGTGGGGGAAGATGTTGACCCTCCTGTACCGGATCAAACCGGTATGATCGTGGTTGCGCGGGGTCCCAGAGCAGCCGAAACTCCTCTAGATTAGGATATACAGACTTAATCCTGTTAGCATAGGACCTAGATATCAAATCCAGAGAAAACTTACCGATCCCAGTCCCGTAAGTACATCCGGGAAACTTAAGACATGGGGGGTTTCTTGTGAAGACGAAATGGTTAGACTTTTCATATTGGGAAGATGTTGAGGCCACGTCGATGTGGACCGGGGCCTTCCGGTAGGAATATCCCAAACACGGAGAAAAACAGCTTTCTCTAGTTTCGAAAGGGTAGATAAAATACTCCCAACACATGCGTGTGAAAGGTTGATATCTGCACCACAGACAATACTTTTCAGTTGGCCAAAATCCTTGATTTTCGTGTAGAATTCTTTGGGCTGGTTGTGTTGAACCATCAACTCCAGGTGCTCTAGGTTGGGGCATCTGCTTAGCATGTCCAGTACTTTAGGTGTAGTAGAGGGAACAAGATTTCCAATGGTGGCATTTGTCAGTTGTGCCCGCGATCGATGGATGTAGTTTCGGACAGATGTCCAAGGTACCCGAGATCTAGCTCCGGTGAGGTCAACATGCATCCAGAAGCTGGGCAGACCGCTAAGGAATTGGCCCCATCCTTTGCAGACGCGTAGAATCGCCCTATATGCCGGAATGAGCTGGTGAGATTTTAGAAGTGATGATTGAACACTTACACAATCTGCTTGAAGGAAAAGCACTGAAGGATGAGTATCGCAATCTCCAGTGGCAGGGCTGTAAATGGGTCGCGCCTATTTCCTCCTGCCAGCTTATCCTGCAATTTCTTGAGCAACTGCGTGAGGGCCTGGAGATAGTTAGTATTGGGGTGAAAAAATAAGTGAGAGAGAAAATATTGTGAGAAAAGTTAAAGATATTGGTGAACAGAATAGTGATAAAGACATACCTTGCGGCCTGGGTGATCAGCTGGAAGTTTTTGAAGGGCATACTCGTAGATATCACGGGCCTTGTCAAAGTTCCCATCTAAACACAGGATCTTGGCCAAGCGAAGGTATCCCTTCGTCCAGAGTCAGTCATGCATCCATAATTGAGAAATAAGCATTGAGGTGGATGCTTACACGGTCATCATTGGGTGCAAGCTTGACCATCGCTCTAGCATCAGCACGGGCCTGGCTGTATAGCTTCAGCTTGCAATACGTAGCAGCACGATTATCCAGAATGCTAGTATCATCGTCATTTAATGCCAACGCCTAGATGTACGGATGATTAGTATCAGTTGCGATGGAACAATCAAGATAGGACGTACCTGGGTGAAGGACCTCATGGCGCCTTCGAGATCACCAACTTTGTAGGCATTTTGGCCTGCCCGTTGAAAAATAGCGGCTTTATCTAGGTCAACCTTCTTTTTGGATGTTACTCCACGTGCTAGGTGCGTACCTGGCCTTGAAGCCATGATGAAAAGTAGATGCAAACGCGGTTGGTGAGATTTAAGTAGTGGGGTAGAAGTGGAAGGTTTAATGCCACGCAAGGGACAAATAAGTGGTGATGGTTGGATGAGGGGTTATATCCACGCGTTTATGCAAATGCCAACGCACTATGTTGCCATCAAATGATTGAATGTTGCTTCGAATAACAAATTTGGCTGCTCTGACTTTCTATAAAGAATCAGTTTCAATACGAATAACTCTTGGGGATCTCTGAATAATAAATTGACGCATCCCAATACAATTCCGCGATAAATCGGGCAGAATCACACCTCCTCTTCTCACCGTCTGAATAACTGCACACATGGCATAAACAGTCTCCCGTACTTTCCGTGTTTACTTTCTTCCCCATTCGGCATTCGGAGTTATTTGCAATTGACAGTGAGCGCTGCCATGGAGTCGCATAATCTGCAGGCAGCTTCGACCTATGTCAACAATATCCTACTAGCAAGAGGCCTGTTAAAAGGTGGTCGCGCCATTGATTTTGCCGACCCAGAAAACGAAGATGGAGGGACAGATGGCACCATGGCTCGTGTGATCAACTTGGTCAACGATTTAGTGTTGAGACGAGACGTGCGTGTGCTGCTCTGACGTGCGCCTGGGCATGCGACTGACATATACTAGCGCGAGTCCGAACACCGCGAGAGCTTATCTACGACTATTCGCACGCTGCAAGCCAGTGAGGCGGAGCAGATCACAGAAATCGTATGTGTTCACTATATTTATGTCTCACAGCGCGCTAACATCCCTTACTTGAGTAGGGAAAATTGAAAGCGAAGACATCCGAGTTGACCCGTTCGCTAGCTCTGGCAGAGGCGCAGGAGCGCACGTTCAAGTCGAACATGTCTAGCGCCGAAGCGAGCATCCGGAGTTTCAAGGAACAAGTTCAACGCATGAAGAGCACCGTCCAACAAGTCCGAGCCCAATGTGCCAACGATATTCGCAAGCGGGATTTGGAAATGCAGAAGCTCAAGTCTCATTTGGCTGAGAGACAACGAGGCAAGCGCGAGGGTCTGAGTGTGACTACTATCAATATCAACCCTGCATCAGATCGATCACGTCTTTTGGCCAGCGGTGGGGAACGAGTACACGACCCTGGATATAGCTTAAAGCAGGAGACGACCGACTTCTTGACCGAGTTATGTCAGCATCTCAGTGATGAGAATGATACCCTAATTGAGCTGGCACGAAGCACTGTTCGTACCTTGAAGGATCTACAAGGCTTATCGCAGCCCGAGAATGGGAACGGTGAGAATGAGCAGTTGGGTATGACTACAAATGTAGGAGCTCAGAAGTCTTCTTCAGGACCTGTTACTTCGCTTCCAACCTCGTGTGAAGAACTATCCATTCAAATGGAAGCAGTGCTAGAGCATCTACGAACACTGCTTACCAACCCCTCATTTGTGCCTCTTGAAGAGGTTGAGATGAGAGACGAGGAGATCAAAAGACTGCGGGAAGGCTGGGTGAAGATGGAATCCCGGTGGAAGCAGGCGGTTACCATGATGGGTGGGTGGCAGCGTCGTCTTGCAGATGGAGGGGATTCCATCCAAGCGGACGAATTGAAGCGCGGCATGAATCTCGATCTTAGCATTAACTCAACCGAAGACATGAGCATGCAAAGCTTGCCAGAGTCTAATCCCATCCCTACAATCCTGGAGGACCAATATGAGGAGGAAGATACGAGCGAACCGGAGGAAAAGGCGCCCGAGCCCGAGATGCTCCATCCCCAGAAGATGAGGTCCAAGATTCGCAAAGTACCAGAGCAACCCGATCGCGTTCTGAGGGAACGGAGTGAAAACACCATGACAAAGCGCCCCCGGAAGGTCTCATTCACGCCAGGTCTACAAGGCTCGCCATGCGTGGACACCACCGATGACGAGACTCTCAAAATCAAAGCCTACAAAACCGAAACTGTGACCCGCAGGCCAGCCAGGCGAAAGACCGAAACAAAAGAATCCCGTCAGGTATGCAACGAGAACCATTTCCCAGGATGTTCCGAACGAGATCCCAAGGACTAATTCGCCCTACAGCCCAAACCCAACGAATCATTAACCGTGCACCAAAAACTAGCCGCGGTTGAGGACGAGGCCCGCGCTGCTCAAAATGAACAAAAGGAGCGCGAATCACGAAAGAGAAGCCGAACTGAGAAGGCGTCCAGGCCGGCAAATCGGCGTCGGAGTACTCTTACCACTGATGAGCTTGACGATCTGATGGGCGTGGCCCGGTGAAAGATTAATTGATACCCCCCACTAGTCTGCACTGTACATACTTCGAGTGCATGTAAATATGGAGTCACTTTTGCAAAATCGCGTATGATCGACATGAATTTAACCTAATAGCGGATCTTCATTTCGGAGTTAAAATGGACCTCGGTAACTTTGTCTTCGGCTTCTCCACATCTTATATCAAGCTTGTTTCTTTTTCCCTTTACTTTGACCCATTCAACCTCATAAGAGATTGGCCCTCCAATCTAAGGTCTCTAGTTCATTCTGTATACCCAGGAATATACGAACAAGCTTCCAATTACCCAATCCCATCCCTCATCACAACATCTACCTCGGCAAATTTCCACAGCGCAACCACCACAAACACAATGACCCCTCCCACAAAACCAGACACCTTCAAAGGCTGGGTCGCTCACGACGCCAAAAGCCCTCTAACATACACAACCTACACCCCGAAACCTTTCATGCCCACCGACGTCGAAATCTCCATCTCCCACTGCGGCATCTGCGGCACCGACATCCACACCCTACGCTCAGGCTGGGGCCCAAGCGACTACCCCTGCGTAGTCGGACACGAAATAATCGGCACAGTAACCCGCCTCGGTAGCGCCGTCGAATCCCAGTCCACCCCGAACGCAATCCGCCTCGGCGATCGCGTTGGCGTTGGCGCACAGAGCGGCGCCTGTCTACGCGCAGACTGCGAAGCCTGCGCTGACGGTGAGGAAAGCTACTGCTCCCGCATGACAGGCACATACAACGGACGATATAGCGACAAGTCGAAGTCTTATGGCGGGTTTGCTGAGAAGTGGCGCGGGCCTGCACATTTCGTATTCCGGATTCCGGATTCACTGCCCTCGGCTGAGGCGGCGCCGTTGCTGTGCGCGGGTGTTACTGTGTTTGCGCCGATGAGAAAGTACGGCGTTGGGCCTGGGAAGACGGTGGGGATTATTGGTGTTGGGGGGTTGGGACATTTGGGGATTTTGTTTGCTAAGGCGCTTGGGGCAGATCGTGTTGTTGCTATTTCGCGGTCGTCCGGGAAGAAAGCGGATGCTGTTGATGGGCTTGGGGCTGATGGGTTTATTGCTACGGGTGAGGAGAAAGGGTGGGCAAAGAAATACTCGCGCTCGCTTGATGTTATCTTGTGTACGGTTTCGGCGCATGATATGCCCTTTGCGCAGTATCTGAGGTTGCTTAAGCGCGATGGTACTTTTGTGCAACTTGGTGCACCGGAGGATGCATTGCCACCGCTTATGGCTTGGAGTCTTATTCAGAAGGGTGTTAAAGTTACTGGGTCGAATATTGGTTCGCCTGATGATATTCGGGCTATGTTGGCTCTTGCTGCGGAGAAAAGGGTGTTGCCTTGGATCCAGAAAAGGGATATGGCGGATGTTAATCAGGCTCTAGTTGATATGCATGAGGGCAAGGCCAGGTATCGGTATGTACTACAGAATGGGGGTAAACAGGCGAAGTTGTAAGGTTGGAGATGTGGAGTATGAGATTGGACCCCGAGTTTGATGTTATCTGACTAGATATCCATGGATATACTGAAAGGAACCCAGATAATTTCCCCTTTGAGATATAATTTCCCCTTAGAGATGCATAATCTCTACAAAAACGTGGACGAACATAGTATCTCCACTTCAAACTCTTATGGATGGATCCACCTTGAGTAAAATAAGATTTAAACTTTCGTATCTCGTACCGTGCACCATATCGGGTTTAGTGGGCATCCACTAAACTATATCGGGACATCAGTACGAAAATGTGAGTATACGAGCTCTCATTCTGATACTCGACGAATTTGCATTGGGGTTGCCTAGAAACTTTTTTTTCATAGAAAAATCTGATATAGCACGTATATAAGCGTGGTTTTCAGTTTTGTTTTCTGATTCATTACTTCAATCCAACCTGGTCTTTCCTCTCCCATCAATACATACAGAAGATGTCTTCTTCTCACGCCGGCTGGATAGCCTATACATACTACCCTTCATTGCCTGCCGCAGCAGTATTCATAGTCTGCTTTGCAATTGTCACTTTACTACACACATTTCATTTGTTCCGCACGAGAACATGGTTCTTCATCCCGCTCGTGATCGGTGGATATTGTAAGTACCACCATATCCCCGTGTTTAAGCAAACTTCAGAAATTTCCAGTACTAACACTATCGCAGTTGAACTCGTTGGATATATCGGGCGCGCCATGTCATCTAAACAATCACCCGATTGGACCATCGGACCCTATGTCATGCAGAGCACATTGCTGCTCGTTGCGCCGGCGCTGTTCGCAGCGAGTATTTACATGGAACTGGGTCGGATCATCGTGATGGTCAAGGGCGAACAGTTTTCCTTGATTCGCGTTGGGTGGACAACAAAGATATTCGTGGCCGGTGATGTGTTGAGTTTCTTGATGCAGGCTTCTGGTATGTTTTCTTCCCCCTCTATATCTTCTTCACTAGCTCAATGCTAATCCTCCCTCAGGTGCGGGAATAATGGTTAGCGCATCGTCAAACTCCGCGAGCACCGGCCAGAACGTTATCATCGGCGGCCTCATCGTGCAAATAGTGTTCTTTGGCTTCTTCTTGATTAGTGCGCTCATCTTCCAGCAACGCATGGGCTCTCACCCCACTGCTCATGCCGTGGCGGATCAATACCCATGGCGCAAGCATATGTGGGCATTGTACTCATCCAGTATTTTTGTTCTCATTCGGTCTATCGTTCGTGTCGTTGAGTATGTCCAGGGCACGGAGGGTTATCTCATGAGCAATGAGGTTTTCATTTATGTCTTTGATGGGTTGTTGATGTTTGCGTTGATGGTCATTTTCGTGATCGTTCACCCTAGCGAGGTGAATTATCTTCTTGGGAGGGGAAAGGTGGTAACGGCTATGGGCGGGTTGAAGGTCATGGAGGGCTCAAGTGCGGTTTAGCGCGTTGGGATCGAGATTTGTGATTATTGTGGGATCATTCAGGATTCGAATTCTTTTTTTTTTTTTCTTTCGACTTGGTTATGGAATTCCTTCCGTGGTTTCGGCGCTTTGAATTTGGGGTATATATGAATATAAATAAGAAAAATGCTTTAGAATGTTAAGTGTTAACCTGTTCCAGAAAGTTAACACCGAGAGTCTCTCTCATTGCCCACTGGAGCAGCGGCCTCCACCGATCATCTAGTATTGCCCACACAGCCTTCGAGACCCTAACACACCAGTCTCCAAAGCACCAGCGATGCTCCAAATAGTGCAGGAGCACACCATAGTGCGCTAGCATAACTAGCGCCAAAGGGTCTCGTTCACGCAGCAACTCCATAAACCGAGGTTTCAAGCGGATCGCGAACCTCCCGGCAATCGTAGTTGCCCTGATTCCGCTGTAACACCAACTGAGCATTTCCTCCAGATTCAGAATGGCCCCTTCATAAACGTGCACTTCGTGATTCACATCCCGTGACCCGCAGATTTGGTTCGCCTCGCGCAGTTGTTTGAGCATAGCAACCGCATGCTCAGGAATCGGAGACTCAACTTCATCAGTCCGCAAAATCGGTCCAAAAGAACTATCACGTAGAAAATCCGTAAAGTTTCGCGGCGAATGGATAACCTGCTGCACGCCGCGCGTCAAAACCAGAACTTGGTACAAATCGTCGATGCAGGACCACGGATCCTGCACATCCGGCGTATGCGGGAATGCAAACGTGTAAATAACCACAATGCCTGCAAAGGCGAACATCGCCTTGGCATTACTCTCTGTTACGTCACCCAGAAGCTCCCTGAACAGCGCCAGCGCTTGGTTCTGGTGACCGACGGCGCGATTGAGATATGACGCGCGACGGGTCGGATCCGGCCCCGTTCGAGCGAGATGCAGCGCTGACAGGGCCAGGATACCGTGCATGAGAAATGGGTGCGAGAGAGCCTCTTCGGGCACTATATTGCGCCAGATTGGATCTGTTATCTCGTTACGCGACAGTGTGTGGAACGTCGTGTTGCACCACTGTATCATCAATTCCAGGTCTTGAAGGTTCAGTGATGGCCCCCCTGGGGTTGCGGCATTTTCGTTGCCGAGTTGACCCAGGATTCCGAGGGGATCCCCTGTTCCAGTTCCTGGAGTAGAACTCAAGGATGAACGTAGTGCCGGTACTGGGTCGCCTGCCTGTCCACTGTCGGACTCATTTGCCCATAGTAGGGAGGTTGACGACCCATACTCACATTCGGAATGGCGCTTGGCGCAGTTGGTGCAGGATGGCCGAGCTTCATCGCACTATAATCGAATGAGTGGGCTAATTTTTTTTTTTCTTTTCTTTCTTTCTCATTTCGTACCTTCACTCGTCGTCTTTTGCATTCCATGCAACCGTGTCGAGATTTCCGATGTGGTCGTCGGAGCGCCATAGTCATTCAATTATTAGATTTTCCATAGTTTTGGAAGAAGAAGAAATGAGGCTCTTGTCTTAGGGTTCTCTTTCTTGATGGTAGGCAACAGGATTGCCGGAGGGACCTCGGGGGGGTTCCCGGGGAAAGTATAGGATTATGTCACCATACCCTGTCGATCAAACAATCGAAAAAGGCTTGTCTGAACTGAAACATTGTCTTGCTTGCACTGCCTCACTTGGCCTTGAATTATTATACGACTTTAATTCGTTAAAATCTATAAAAGTATCTGTAAAAGTAGTCTCTTCAGGGAAGGGTCGGTTATATACTCCGTATTTTGTACTCTTCGAAAAAAAGAAAAACCTTAAAAAAGTTCATTTGAAACTTTTTTTTTATTAGAAGTCTTAGACATTTTCTTACATTCGGCAGTTCTCTTTCTATATATATCCCGCTTACTACTATAGAAGAATAATGAAACATAATATCCCAGACTTTTCCATAAATCTAATCTTAAAATAATTTAAAGACAATTAAAGAAATTTAAAGAAAAATTAAAGCTTATCCAGAACGTGGCAGTTATACTAAGGGTATCATAGCTAAACATTAAATAAACTCCAATCTCGCTAGGACTTTCCTAGCTTCGTAATTGTGTGAACGCCATCAATGAAACCTCAAGTCTTGGCTTAACATGATCCTCCCCCTCCTCCTCCAGCTTGCGAACTCTGTCTCGCACGCCTGGCCCTCTCAATAACGGAAATTGCCGACATAAGCGCCATGAGGTAGAACTGTGACCCTAGATGGAAGTAGATATCCAAGGAACCGGTTGTTTTGGAAAAGATGCCACCGGAAGAAAAAACCGCAACAACTGTCTGGCTGGTCTCCTCGACTAATTTGTAGTTTTCATGGCCACTACCAAGCGAGTGGGTTCGTTTCCAGGTGAAAGTTTGCTTCGTGCCGTCCTCCACCTGCATCCGGAACCAGTATACACGCTTCATAAAGCCTTGCTTATGGAGATATTCCCAGTCCATTTTGTTGGGCCGTTCAGGATTTCCGAGCCCAATTTCACAGTCCGAGGAGAAGTGTCTGAACTTACACACTCCTGCAATGGGCCCATTGGAGTCTGGGCCCCGGTGGAAGGTCAGATCCGGTTTTCCTGGTGTGAGGGTGGAGTTGACGACATGGAAGAGGTGTGTTTTGTTTGTTGTGCTGACATCGTAATGGTGGCGCCAGAAGCTGTGGGTGATGAGATACTGGGCGGCTGGATTCATGATGGAGGTGATGGAATTGAGAATGGTATCATTCGGTGTAGAGTAGAGTTGCGATTAGTTTCTCAAGCCGGAACCAGTGAGTTCATTATATATCTAGATTCTCAGATCAATTAAAACTCAGCCTTGCTCGAGTCATTACATGTGTTCATTGAGCTCCTAAAGTTGCATCATATTGGGGCCTAAACGACTGAGCTCTGCCTTGCGATGCCGGCAGTGCAGGGCAACAGACCTATCAGGTTGTGGCCCCCAAAATTGGTGACCAGGCTATCCCGCATTTCGCCTGATTTGCAAGGCTCCAATTTGGGGCAGTCTGAGTAAGCAATCTCTCACGTGATCCTTCACCAGCAAATGTCACATGACTTAAATATTAGTGCCTTGGTGCCTGATAACTTTCGCCGTCGCGTCGAAGCGGAAAGTGAAGGGCAAGAAAAACAAGCAAGTGTGGAGAAGAGGGAACTTCTGCCAAACAATCAACTACATCGACCTTCTTCGCTGCTCGGTGAATCGATCTTTGTCGATTGAGACTGCCATTTGTTCCATCTAACAGTTCTTTAGAGCTGTTGCGGCCCAAAACCTGCATCCTCTGATGCCGTCAACCCGTCTCTTCTCATTCTGATCAAAACCCACCCCGCGATGTCGTTCCACGTACCCTACGAGTCCAGTCCACCTGAGACTCCAGATAAAGATCGCTCTCGCAGTCTCTGGAGCAATTTGTCGACAACTCCTGCCGGCCCTCCACCATCCACTGCAGGCTCATTCGTACCGCATTCTACATCAAACATCAATGGTGGTTCGCGCATCAACTCCTTCTCCACAAATGATAGCGCATTCTCCACAAACCAGAACTCCTTCTCGAGAAATGACTTCTCCAATTCTGTCTTCACCAAATCCGGTAACATCAATACAAATGATAGCATCTTTGGCTCATCCTTTGGATCGATGGATTATGCCATGCCCAAGCAGACCAAAGCTCCTTCCGCTAAGCCTGCAGCTCAATCTAGTCTTCGCTTCGGTGTACCGAATGGCGGATTTGGTGATTCGATGGATTTTGGACAGTCTAATGGGTTTGCCTCGTCGCAAATGAGTGACTTTAACGAAGACCAGGAAGGCGCGATGGAACCGGAGCACGAGCAACTTGAAGAGGAGCAAACTGAAGAGGAAACGGATTTGAGCACTAAGGATCGGCCCAATAGTTTCAACTTCTTAGACTCGGCTTTCGGAAACCCTTTCGGGTCCCAGCCCTCCATGGGTGCACAGCGCAAACCGATTTATTCGAATCCAAACGATGCCAAGCGACCGAAGCTTGACGATCACTGGAAGCACCAGTCGCCTATCCGCAAGACCAACCTGGCACCCAAGAAACCCTCTGCCATGCCGTCCATTCTTCACAACCTTGCTGCTAGATCCCGCATTGCCCTTGTTAAAGAGCCAAGTGAGATGATTCTCCAAACGGAGGATGCCCTGGGAAGACTTTCCGATGAGCTCAAAGCCGCGGAATTCAAACATGTCGATTTCGATGCCGTATTGGCTACAGTATCAAAGGAATTGGCAGACACTTGGCAGACTTGGGCTGACGAAAGTGGGATTGACCGGCCCTATGGTGCCCATACCGGTATTGGGCCCGGGGAGCAGGCTCCCAACCTCGTGAAAGCTACCTTCTTGACTTCGTTGCTGCTTCAAATCCATCACCCGCCTCGTGAACCACCTTCAACTGCCAGCATTAACCCCATGCGCACCGGGGCCGCTGGTATGGTGAAGGCCATGACGAGACTTCCCGTTCCTAAACCCCTGCCCCAAGTTTTGCTTGACTGGCTCAGTGAAAACCACGCTTCGCAGACCAAGGATCTCCAAGCATTGAAATATGTGGAACCGAACCCGACCGCGTCCTCAAACTTCTGGGATATTATCATTGCCTCTGTGCTGCGTGGTCGCTTGACTGATGCCGCAGATGTTCTGCGTTCTGCAGACTTCAACTACGCCCGGTCAGCAATGGAGGATGGACTCCCGCAACCTGGCTACCGCGGCGCACAGCTACAAAATATTCAGCGCTGCGTCAACAAGGCTCTTCAGATCCTTGAATCATGCCCTGGTACCCAATCTAAAGACTGGGAGGTTACTGGCCTTGATTGGTCTCAATACCGGAAACGAGTTCTTTCAGCTGTAACTGACTTAGAAGAATTCGCTGAGGGAGAGGAGCGGGATGAGTCGATTGTGCCGGTTCCAGAAAATCGCTTCCAGGCCGTCAACTTTGGGTTGTCCACTTTTAACACAAACGCTGCCAACAAGAACCCCATTTCATTCGCTCAATCAGCTCGCATGGCAGAAAGCCGTGTCCCATGGTCAATTTACCAGAGCTTGAGGTTTATCTACCGAATTCTTTTGGGCGACCCATCTGCCATCAAGGGCAAATCTCAAGACTGGGTGGAGGCGACTATTGCATTGACAGCATGGTGGGATGGTGAAGACGACACTGGTACCACCATGGACTTTGGCGCTACCTCATCCAGCGACAACTTCCAAGATTTCTTGCGCTCGCGTGGCCCAAAGAATCACGCTCGCGCCGTTGATCGTAATGTGCGTGGCGCTTACCTCGACCGCCTCGAACTAGCCCTCAGCCATACCACCAGCGATGGGTCCGACAACGCTGATTTCCGACCCAATACGCTCAGCAGCGTGGAGGTGGGACTTGCATCTGTCTTTGAAGGCAACGTGCAGGGCGTATTGGAGTTAATACAGTCATGGTCACTTTGCGTGGCTGCAGCGGTCGCAGAAGTTGCCAGTCTAGGAGGTTGGTTTGAGTCTGGAAGCAGCCAAAAGACGCTACCTGGTCTGTCCGAGAATGATCTTATGGTTCTTTCGTACGGGCAGGAGAACAAGTCCCCGGCTCGCCATTTACACAAGGATGATATTCTTTACAGTTACGCACTCGGACTGTACGACCGGCCCGTTATCGAGAACGAGCACAGCTCTCGCGAAGGCTGGGAGCTTGCTATTGAGGTGTTGAGCCGCTTCGATGATGCAAACAAGATGAAGAAGGCTGTGACCGAGATTGTGGATAAGCTTCCTTTGGAAAGCGCTGATCAGTTGGATAAACTCGTGGTTCTCTGCTCTGAACTTGAGCTAGAGGAGCAAGGGCGTCGAGTATCCGAGGTGAGTGGTAGAAGGGAATTGTGCTTGACTATCCGACCAAATGCTAACTTGTATTACAGCGATTCGGCGACATGTTGACCTCGAAATCCGAAAACTTCGGTCTGGCCCTTGTCTGCTATGCTCGTGCGCAGAGCCGACGCAAGGTCAAGTCAGTTGTCGATCTTTTGATTTCCTACAGCTTGGTTCAATCACGCGCGTATCCTGCGGCGGCCGATCTCGATGAACAATTGCGCTCCTTGATGAAGGAACCCAAAGCATGCCTGTCGTCCATTGCACAAGTCGACGAAGAAGCTGCACGGATTCTCCAGTTCTATCTCAGTGGTTATGCAACACTGCGCCGGTTTTATGAGATTCGTGACGAGGAATTCGAACTGCAAGAGGGCCAGCAACCACGTTACAAGCCGTTGGCTCGGCGACGTGCCGCTGCGCAAGCTCTTGCGGCTGTCATTGGGAGTGCGGCGGATAATATTTACGGAGGTCTCTACGATCCAGATCGTGATTCCGCTGTACAGGTGGATGGACTGCTGGCTCTGCTGGGTGAAGCCTGTGTGTTTATGAACCGTAAGTCTTCTAATATAGCCCACGCCAACTTTCTTCCTTGATACTAACCCCCTAATCAGAACCCACTCCAATTCTCTCCGTATCTCAACAGTTCACCATCCTGTCCGCAATCGAGGACCTCGAAACAGTCACCCCCCGTGTGTACGCACAGTGCGAGGAGTGCTTCCGCTCCACCCTACTCGAATATCAATCATCAACCAGCGGAGGATCAGATGGGCTCCCCTCCCCCCGCTCGCTATTAAAGAAATCCGTATCCAACTTCTCCTCCAGTTTTGCCTTCATCGGCAACGACATGCTTGAGTCCGCGCGCACACGCTCCGGCTCGGGATCCGGCCCTACCTCCGTCGGCAGCTCAGGCGTCCTGGTGCCTACCCCAGGTGACAAAGCCAGCGCCGATCGTGGATGGGATTGGCGAGTCGGACTTCCCGAGACTGCCAAGGGTGAGGATATCCTACGGATGCTTCGACTGGGATTAGCACGTGGATTGAGTCAGGGAGCCATGGGATCGATCTGAAATTACGGCGTTAAGAGTAAGAGGGAGGCCTAGTTTTGAAAATGGTGTTTTTTTTTTTAATCCGGGAAATGAATTTAGCTTAGCACCACTTGCACACACACACTACATTTACCTGTTCAGGATCTGCTGTCTTTGTGACAGGCGCTGTACGATATGAGACTTTATGCAAGTTAATTCTTTTGAGTCAGTATGTACTTTGCGGGCATTGTAGAGTGTAAACTTACATCGACAGAGCTCTCTGACCTTACGACTGTATGAAGTTGCTATCTCATTTTCGTCTATTATAAATTTGTATCATTATTTTCTACTAAATAGCCTATATAAGAAATTCCTTGTGTGGCCTGTGGTTCTACAGTCTTGCCCTATATTCCCATTCTAAATATAATTTACCTATGTACTCCGTATTCGTACATGCTAGGTAACTCTGTTTTCGCATCAGCTGGATGCGGGCGCCTAATCCGCTCACAAATTCACCAACATATCGTCAGATATAATATTTGTAGATGTAATCATATACGGACCACCAGCCCTATACAATATACACTCATGAGCCTCCATACTAGTCTTAAAAACTGACAGGGGGGCTGTGTTAAGAGGCTCTCTGAGTCAAAACGCCCCGATATCCACTTTGGATTCACAGCGTCATTCAGCCAATCATCTGTCCGATTCGGGATTTGAGAAATATTGTATTTGCGAACTCTTTAGCTGCACAGCCGGTTGCTCACCGACATACTGTACTGAATGGCTGTGGGATAGGCATCTTTATTGTGTGTTCACCGTCTTTACCTGCCACACTTTCCTATTTTGATGTTAGTGTTACTGTGTAGTGAGACCGAAAGTCAGAAGTTTGAACATTCCAGCTGAAGGGATGGGACTAGACTAGTCTTTTTTTTCTCTTCTGTGTATCCCCCCCCCACTAACATAGAGGGGTAAATGATCCCTCTTAACAGTGGAGTCTATACTCATAACTTGTCCAATTGGGCGCGCCCCGTTAGGTTTCTGCCTGGGGCTACCCATAGGGCTGATGTATATCTTATTATACTCTATATATATTTTAATCCCTTCCCTCAATTTACTCCACGGTTCATTCTTTCGCGTATACTTTCATTTGTTATTTTCTTTCTTTGAATCGGCTGGTTCGCTTCCTCTCTTTCAATACAAACTTCAATTCACCAAATCCCCTCATACGATGTGCTACAAAGTCGTTGAACGCTACTCCGTCTGCAAATGTCTCTACTTCGAACACTCCATCGACCCATGCTCTGCTTATGGACAACGTGGTCACAGAATACAAGAAAAGACCGTGTTAGTTGGCTATACCTGTGACAGACACTCTGGACGTGGGGTATATGCTTCTTCACCTGGTACGAGCCGGTCTGATTCGGGATACTGGAGTCGGGATTTCGGTGGAAGTCAGGAGGGAAGTCACAGTGAGGAATATTGGTAGATTTGGGGACCATTCATCATGGCTGTGCCGTGATTTCGGAGCTTCCTGGATTGTTGTTTTTTTTTTTTTTTTCCTGTTCTTTTTTTCTATTTGAATTGTGTGTCGGTGTTCTTCGGATAATTATTGTCGACGCTGGTGTCGACAATTCCTGGTATTGGCCAGTTTGTGGACTCTTTCTACCCTCTACACTCTTTTCTCTGTGCTTTATTGTTTTGGCTTTTGCAAGTGGTTATTGCTCCTAGAGAGCGCGCTGCTTCGTGAATCATTGATTGATTCCACTGCATTTTATTCAACCGGGTGTTGAGTATCGTCGAATCCAATACGAAATGCCGGTCCACGTCTGGGACGGAGGGTGCAGGGCGAACATGCGAACGAAGACTGGTGACAAAAATACGTGTGCTATTGTGCGATATGTGTGATTATGCGGTACGGATGATGGGCCAACGAAGGACCATGAAGTGAAAATATAATGCATTGTGGGCGTCTCTTTTCTTTGAACAAGCCTGTCACTATATGTCCTGCATTCATATTTTTGTCGAAGCAAGGACTGGTTCCTTCTCATGTCAATCGATAGTAATCCATTGCATTCTTTTCGTGATCTATTGACAAACCACCAGATTGCCTACGCAGTTGGGAGAAACACAAGCCATCTTGCGAGTAAAAAGAACGGGCCTTCAGGTTAGCCGCTTGTCTATATCAGAAGCTTGGCATGTGGTACAAGTCTCTCTACCTTCATTCGACGTGCAAATAACGGTTAGTACACGATGCTTGATTCACTTGCCCGTTACCGGAGGTGAGATATCAATGCCTGTTACCGGGAAATCATTGTGATGGCGAGGATCTTAAAATTAGGTGCGAGCCATGTGGAGGCCCATATGGGCAGTTTAAGTCGCTTAGATAAATATGTGCGAGTTCCAAGATTTCCCATGGAAGCAACTAGGTAGGTTGGTCGTTTTTGATCGCCTGGACTCTCTGGCCGTCGCCCGGCTTATATGTTACCGACTCGGATTAGGGGATTAGGTTGATGGAATTGCAGTAGAAGGCTCTATATGCCTGTTTCAGAAAGGTAAATGAAAGATATTCCTGGATTAAAAAGACGAATTACCCTAGTATGATATTCTAACGCTAAACCCAATTTGGATTAACAGATGGAAGTATAAAGCCTTTGTTTTATTCCACCACTTTCTAATATAAAATCAAAGAATAATTATTAGGATGTTGGAACTAAGACTTAACTACATTTCGAAACCAACTCGACATTCAATTCGGAGGGACTTGGGAAGATGTACCAGGTATGGATCCTCCTGCACTCCAAGCCCCTTGGCTGCATACAAAGATACATGAGATGATTGTGGAAAAGGCGGAAGCAAAAGGTGGGAGCTGCAGCTGAAAAACAATTTGATTCGAAGTGAATCCCTCAGGATTGTCATTTACTAACTGAAACTGGCCTAGTGGCATGTATGTCCTCGTGTAATAAGCTGACACGACCTTGTGAGGCTTGGGATCTGCAGTTAACTCATTTCCTTCCCAATTCCCTCCAGTCTTGGTGGAAGATATTATCCAGCATATCCTAGGCTATCCCATAGTTATAGCATGGGGAGCGACTTCAAGGTTATTGTGGTGGGTGGCGGCCCAATAGGGCTAATCGTTGCCCATGCGCTTCACCGCGCCGACATTGATTTTGTGGTTCTCGAGCGCAGACCTGCTGTTGTCGAAGAGAAAGGAGCCAGTCTTGTTCTATATCCAACTTCACTCAGAGTCATGCATCAACTCGGTATCTTAGAGTCATTACTGCCTCTGGGGGGAGAGTTGAAAACTCATATGTCGCTTACCAAAGACGGACATGTGTTTAATGAAAGTCCAAGATATACAACTCTTCGAGAGAAGTGAGTCGTTATACCAATTTTCATATGTTTCTGACTGACATTTCTGAAACAGTCATGGACATGGCCTTGTTGCCTTTGATCGTGCGGAGGTGGTCAAAACAACGTACGATGCGTTACCAGATATCGCAAAAGAAAAAGTCTTGACAAACAAACAGTTGAGCAATATCGAGACCAAGGTTGACGGGGTCAAGGTGACATGTGGTGACGGTAGTGTCTATCATGGATCAATAGTGATCGGCGCAGACGGCGTTCACAGCAAAACCCGACATTTGATGCGCGATATCGCCTTAAAAGAAGACCCACTACGGGACTGGGACCCAGAAGAACCGTTCACAGCAACGTTCCGTCTTTTATACGGATCATTCCCCACGCCGTCACATTCCGGTGAAGGAAACGATACCCAGTCGTCGGGAAAGTCCGTCTCGTATTTCAGCGGCCCGACACGTAGCTGGTTCTTCATAACCAAAGCGCTGCCCAAGCCAACCAGCGAGCGAAACCATTACACAGAGAAAGATGTTGACACCGTCGGTGCTGAGTTTGCGGATTTCCCATTGAACCGCGCGGTCAAGGTCAAAGATGTCTGGCCGAACATGCTGGCCGTAGGCATGACGGACCTCCAGGAAGGAATTGCGAAGCACTGGAGTCTAGGCAGGATTGTGCTCGTGGGCGATTCTTGCCATAAGCTCACAGTTCATATGGGGCTTGGGTATAACAATGGCGTGCAGGATGTTGTGGTGTTGTGTAACCGTCTACGAGCTGCGGTTCAGGGTGCTTCGGATAGAAACCCAGATGCGTCTACTCTAACACATGTGTTTAATGACTATGAGAGAGTTCGAAAGAGCTCGGACTGCTCGCTCGTTGCAGATTTGGCGAGCTCGGGAATGGAGACTCGTTTGTACACTTGGTATAACAACTTTTACAGGTTTTTTTCTCGGTATATTGTTGTTCGTTCAGTTGTTGAGAGACTCGCACTTCGCTTTGCATTTTCACCTGGGTTGCAGAAAGCACAGGCGTTTGATTATATTGAGGCATCGGAGGCGATGAATGGGAAGTTACCTTGGCTACACCCGATGAAGACTTAGATATTGTGATATACTGTTACCTGAATCTGAACATGACAATTCCTTTTTAGCTGGCAAATAACTTTGGGTAGTCTATCAACCAGAATCCGGGCAGGTTATAGATTAAAAAGGGTATCAATTTAGAATTGTTCTTCACTCGGGGGCAGATTCTCCAGTCTGTAGTTGGTACTTGCATATTGGAATATAAACACACCATGCAAAAAAGATAAATAACTTCTCGAATTAAAGTCAAGTCCTGTAATACTCTTCGAGTGTCAGGCTATGTTTATTTCTTTTCAGGCGAGTTGTACAGATAATGAGGTTGGTACTAGTCGGGAGAGTATACTACTCGGAAATGCTTCCCTTCCAAGCCCTATGAGCTTGTCACTAAGTAGTATACTTTAATATAGATAGCTTTAGATAGTTTCTACTTGAATCTTCTATACCTCCTCTCCTGGTTTGATCTGTACCTACTGAGAAGATTTACTGTATGGCGATGGGGGCCTGCTCAACGGGGTCGGGTAACCGCACTGATCTTAGCAATAGACACAAATCTGTACTGCATAGGTGCATTACAGTATCTCATATAATTCACTATTAGCTCTTTATATGTACCAGTTTAATTGGAGAAGTTAATCTTTTCAATCTGAAGCCCGGAGGTCAACCCAAATCTTGGAAATGTGCACATTCGCCGGTCGCAACGGATACGAAACCTCCCCTTGCTCATCTTTCTCTTCGAATGTTGTCGTATGAATCTGCGAGACGATAGTCCCCTTGAAGGGTGCCGGCGGTTTCGACCACACCTTCTGCACAGCCTCAGAAATACTCTCGATTTGAATACCCCGATATCCTTCAGCTGCGGAACGCCTCATCATCTCTTCAGCCAGCAGCCTCATAAGTCCATGGCCGGAATAAGCCTGAACGGTGTTGGTGGCGTTGCGCATCAGCACTTGACCACGGACCGTGGGCTTCCACGACTTCGGATCGCGTGGGTCTCGCTCCTCGAGGGCATGGTAGACTGTTCCAAACAAGGGCAGTGCTTCTATCAGAGGATGTATCTGAGCCATGTCCAGCTCGTCGATGCCGTCGTAGGCCATGGCAATGGAAACTAGAGGGAAGTCCATTTGCTCCGCAAGCTCGCTTTCGGTGGCATTCTCATCATCCAGGTTCCAGTACAGCTTGCCCCCTGTAGCTGCAGACTCGGGCCGCTTGTACTGGTATTCTTTGTCGAAGATACCGAGTGACTTCCCGGAATCGATCTGGTGTTTGATTAAATAGTGCGAATCCCGGAAAGTCTGATAGGCCCGGTGGGTTTTGTTCTCGGGGTAGACAACTGGCCAGAGCACGGAATGGAAGATATTTGTGTGAATGCAAATTGCTCGGGCCCATTCCTCATGCTCTGGCTCAAGAACGCGAATTTCGTACTGTGGTGGGAGAGAGGCCATTTTGATCAAATTATGAAGCCGTGTAGATGCTAGATGAGAAGAACGGTAGATGCAAAGGGGGATATAAGGTTATGTGGTGCAATGCGTCCACGTGTCATGAGATCTTTATTTAGTGCTTACCTAATTGTTTAGGATATAATAATCTCCTTTACAGGGATGTAGTTACAAGAATGTAGTTGGGGATATGTTATAGTCTATTTTTGGCTTATGGGCCGAGGAAGTTGGTGATTCGCGGATATCCATCTTAGGCCTTTAAATAGGACCAGTGACCCCGGCCCCAAAAAGATAGAATGGGAATCCCAAACATTGTCCGGAGAAGAGGTTAGGCGTAGCATAGATAGCCGTATATTATTGCCGAATGTTAGATGTCCTCGGCTTGCCAATTCTTTGATCCGAAACAAAAGAAACACCAAAATCTCCCTGGTGTATTGAGCGATGATTTGACTCATAGTAATCAACAAAATGGTACTAGCAGCATCAATTAACGTAGGATCGCTTCAAAATTCCCAAAAATGACGAGGTGCCCTAGCACGCACCCGATCTCCCATCTAGTACATACTCGAATTGATATCTTTTGAACACGAAGATATTGTATGATCTGTTTTGCATTCGGGTACTTTGAAGAACATGACATGTCTCAGAATCACACTATCTAGTGCCGGTCAAATTTGTGAGCGTAATGCTACTTGATGTCCTCTATTTTAGACAAAGTACTTCTAACATGGGCTAGAAATTACCCTGTATAGTCTTGGAATCCATTCTCATGAGCATATACGACCATAGGGTGTGAAAAACAGGGCTTCCCGTCCGCTCAGCCAGTACTTGAATCATCCATTTCAGCACCCCAAGGTCCATTTCCCTCAAAGGGCTTTTCATTTCGATTGCCTGGCCGGTCAATATCAAAGTCCAATCGATTCGGAACCTTCAGCCCAGCTGGAAAATGATATCGAATAAACCAGGTTGAAACACCATCCCGATATAACCAAGGATCTTCCGTCCGACGTTGCCATTCTTCCAACTTCCCTCTCAAATCATTCAATACGGCAGAATACGCTGGGTCTTTTGCGAGATTGTTGACTTCATTTGGATCGTTCTCCAAATCAAATAGCTCCTCCGGCGCTCGGAAGAAATAATCCTTTAGCTTCCGGCCGCCGATTGTGATTTCGTTGTCTGCTGAGTTGCGAATATCTTCCCAGGAAAGAGACCCGTAGAGATCAGCAGCAAATGGGAAGTCCAAACGCCATGCGAGGTTGCGGTGGTATTTGTAACGTCGGTCCCGAATGAATCGCGTTGGCCAGTAATTTGTCACTTCGTGGAATGTATGCGAGCCGAAGACCTGGTTCCAGTCCGAGAGCCTCACGTTACTGCCAAGAATAGGAAGCAATGAGCGACCTAGTCGTTTCTTAGCCGGGTCGACTACACCTGGATGCCCAACATAGTCGAGCAAAGTAGGCAATATATCGATATATGAAACCATGTCATCATTGACCGTGGGCTTGATGTCTGGATGCTTGATAATGAGAGGAAGCCGGACACCCGCGTCGAACAGGGTAGTTTTCGAATTGATAAAAGGCGGTCCGTTGTCACTGATGAAGATCACCAAAGTCGAGTCTGCAAGACCGGCTTTTGTCAGGGCATCCAAAACGAACCCAACGCCTTGATCAAGCCGGTGGATGGAGCTGTAGTACTCGGCCAGCTCATATCGGGTACCGGGAGAGTCGTTGATGAATGGTGGGATTTCGACATCTTCTGGATTATAGTTCCCCTTCTGGATTCGAGGATCATACACCTGGTCATTTCCAAAGCCGCCTCTCGTGCGATCGCGGTGGGGATCGTGAAAACCAATAGTCAGGAAGAAAGGTCTCTCATCGGATTGCGAATCCTGGAAGAAGTACCTTGCTTGGTCGGCGATAACGGCAACATCCCTCGTTTCACTCTCTTTTTTCACTTCCCAGGGATAGACTGCGGAGGGTCCGACATGAATTTTGCCTAGAATTCCGGTCCGATAGCCACATTCGTTCAACAGCTGGGGTGCCGTCTCGACGTGATCAAATGTAACGAAATGATGGCGGTGACTGGCAAGCCCATATTGGCCATTTTGATGAGTATGGAGACCTGTGTAGATAACAGAGCGACTCCCACTGCAAGATGCAGTACTCGCGAAGGCGTACTCAAATCTCGTGCCTTGTCCCGCTAGATGATCGATGTTCGGGGTTTGAATAGTTGAAGCTCCATAACAACCGAGCTGCTTGCCGAGGTCATCGGCGACCATCAATAGGATGTTCTTCTTGCCTGACATTGTCGACTGGGTCACTGAAAGTGTGACTGGGAATTCTCTTATTAGTAGCTTTGGGGCTTTGAACAGATAATAATATTTTTTCAAAGGAACTGCTATCAAATCCTTCATTGGTGCATTTACTTTAGATCAAGCCTAACCCTCTTTTGTTCAATTTCCGTGGCAGCGCGATCTGCTAGAGAGATGATGTGCTTCATCGCGAATGAATTAAGAACAATTAGCCCCCGTTAGCTTGCAACGTGTTTGACCGAATATTAATTAAAAATGTTGCCATCCTCCATAAATATTGCCTATTGGGTAGCACCTCTCAGGGCTACCCATTTTATAGCGGAAATTAGTCTGAAAATAACACGGATTTATAATGCGAAACGGACTTTTAGAATAATACAATTTTATTATTGCATCTCGGTTAATTGGGTGGATGAATGGCGCCTTTGGTATAACACATTATGCTACTCAACAGCACTACCAGAAATGACCATGGCGTAATGTCTCAGAGCTGGGATTCTGATGATTTCGCTTAAATAGATCTAAATGCCCAACTATCGCAGAGCTACAACCATAAGTTACTTTTGAAATTGCCGGAAGATGAGGCTACCCCTTCTCTTCCTTCCCCTGCTGTCGGGTATCGCCGCTGGTCAATTGATTGGCCCTGTAGGCCCTACAACAGCACTCGAGCACAAAAGCATAGAGTGCAACATACTCAATTATGGCGGTATTGCGGATAATAGCACCGATATATCGACCGCATTAGAAACAGTGTTTTCCGAATGCGTCCTCAAAAATCCAGGAAGCCGTCTCATTGTACCGGAAGGTGAATATTTGATCAAGCGAGGTGTTACGCTCAGCAACGGCACGAACTGGGCTTTTCAACTGGATGGATTGATTACTGCTGCATATGGAGGAGACTGGACAATTGAGCGTGAGTTGGTACTCCAAGGATATGCCGGGAGAGACACACTTAATGCCGTCATTGATGGGGAGGGTGACCAAAAGTTTTTATTAGATGTTCTTGTTATCGTCAATGGTGAGTGCAATGCCTGAAATGAATTTTCAGTTACATGAACAGTAAGCTCTGACGTGGAGAGACAGCTGTGGATTTCGAGTTCTATTCTTCGAATGGCAAGGGTGCTTTCCAAGGACAAGGATATATTTACCGAAATCTCAACAAGTAAGGAAACTTCGATGTCTTCGAGAAGAAAAAAAAAAAAAACTACATCTAACTAGAAGATGTGGATTTCTAGCACTGATCGCCCTCGCCTCATACGTCTGATTTCTCCAACAAATGCCTCGGTACATGATTTGATCCTTGTCGACAGTCCCAAGTTTCATATCATTCTCGATTTCGCTGTCAACGTGGAAGCATATCATCTCACGATTCGTGGAGGGAACTTGGGCAGTTACGATGGCATTGATGCTATTGGAACCAACTATCACATCCATGACAACGAGGTATGACCTGAACATCATGGTGCTGAACCTCAATCTGAATCTCAACCATTAATATAGGTCACAAATCGCGATGAATGTGTTTCAGTGAAGAGCCCGTCTCATCATGCTTTGGTTGAGAATTTGGTTTGCAATCAGGCTGGGTCCGGAATCTCTATCGGCAGCTTGAATGTGTCTGCTGAGATCTCCAATATCGTGTGTGCTCCCTCGGTTAATATAGAAAATCTCTTGGGACTGACTTCACTATAGGAAGCACGTAATATCAGCATTATCCAAGGAAACAACATTGCTTTTATCAAGACATATCCTGGGGGATCTGGATACGTCACCAACATTACGTTTTCCAATTTCCGTTCTCTCGGAAGTCTGTATGGCTTGGATATCAATCAGTACTGGCAAAACACTTTCGAGCCCGACACTGGTGCTGTCGTACTGAGTAACCTAGTTTTCCGGAACTTCTCCGGTGGGTTAACTTCTGATATTTGATGACATTTCGTGAACAAGAATAGACTGACAAAAAACCTAGGCTTCGTTGCTGATGGTGTAAAACGCCCTCCACTGTATCTTATTGCAAATGACCTCACGTATGCAACGAATGTCACAGTTGAGGACTTCAGCATTTGGACAGAAACAGGTACCTCGGTTGTTAACAAGATTAGCAACATTTTTGGAACAGGGGATGACAGTTACGGGCCCAATAACGGCATTGTGTCCCTGAATTCGGGCCAGTCTCCTCATACTTACACTAGCACATATACAATTACCGCGTCCCCAACTAGATGGAAACCCCCAAGCACTCCCACATGGGCTGCACCTAGTACCGGCTACGGCAGTAAGCTGAGCAACCCCAGAACTTACAAAATGTGACTAACATACATTTGATAGCTGCATCTCCAATTCCCGTGTATAGTCCTGCTCCCCTTTGGCGCCCTGGTGGAGTGGACTACGATTTACATTACTGGGGGAGCTTCTAAATGATAATCAGAAAAGGATACATATTAATTTTTGGTGACTGTTTCAAAGATGCTCGAAAAACTTGCATTGTTGTGGATGCAAGGGATGGTTAGCATGAGGGGATGAGGTGGTTGAGGGAAGACTAGATAGAGCCATTTACATAGAACTCAATGTAACATCGAAATGGAGATTTTCGTCATGATTGACAAGTAAGAAATGTACAATACTTCTCCAAAACCATTGCTTCCCTTGGAGACTGTCAATCCGTATCCCTACGGACCCTAACTCGACAGCTAATTCCAGACCCAGGACGTTCGGCGAAGCTTTTCCAAGACAATATGCCTTGGCACTTAAATGATAGTCGGAACAAGTGTAGTTTAAACTCGGAGTAATACGGCTAATTGAAAGTATACCAAGGCCGATGGATTTGAGCAAAACTTCATGTCGGCATTCATCGTGGCGCCGGGTCCCCTCAATCATTCCAGAAACCGTGACAAGGAAGATATATTGAACAATATAGTTCTTCCACCAATTAAGCATTGCGAAATTCCATGCGTTCACCGCTGGTTATCTTGATTAGGGAATGATTGATGCCATCGGCGCTTACATGGCGAAAGAATCGGCTAAATGACAAGGCTTGTTTTTATTGACCGAGAAAATCGTTCTCACAATTTGCTTGGTCTTTCTTCTCTAGTCTTGGAAGATTCGTTATCTATTGACGTATATCGCATCATGATGTTGACTGAGCACGTATTATTAGCGGCATTTTGACATGAAATAAAAAGGATTCTTTCTGAAAAACTACCTATATAACGGCCGACCTCGCTATACATCTACTATGATATCGCATTTGTCCTTCCAATCTCATTCGCATCGCTTTCATTATATTCTGCACCGAAGGTGTTCAGAAAGTCATGGAACCGAGATTATCAAAGAAACCGTCAGTCTCATATTCTGAGCCTCAGGATAGTGAAGACTACCATTCGAAGGAGGAAGCTCTGGCCACACTTGCAGAGCCAGAGCAGCCCCGCGAGTCCCAGTCTCTATTTTCTGCTCTCTCTTCGCGGAAACGCAAATTTGACCCAGATGCAATTGCCACTGTTCGAAGTGTCTTCGATGACCCTTTGCTCGGGGAGTTCTACCATCCGAAGCCCGACTACGAGAATTTGCACAGATTCGACGTTAAAGCAAGATGGACGCACCGCGAGGAGACCTCCGTGCGACGCAAAACCGATTGGAAGATCCTGGTCTGGATTCTTGTTATGTTCTTTGGGTTGAACCTCGATCGAGGTAACCTTGGCAATGCTGCTGCTGATAACCTCTTGGATGACCTGAAAATTACCACCAATGATTACAATAATGCCCAGAACATGTACCGTGTCGGATTCCTCGTTGCCGAAATTCCTTCTCAGATGCTCGGTAAAAGGTTAGGCCCAGATCGCTGGATTCCTTTCCAGATCATCTTATGGTCTTTGGCCTCGGGTGGTCAATTCTTCATGCATAATCGGGCAGGCTTCTTTGCTTGCAGATTCTTCATCGGACTTTTCATGGGTGGTTTTATTCCTGATTCGATTCTATATTTGTCTTACTTCTACACCAAAACGGAAATGCCTTTCCGTCTTGCGATGTTTTGGTTTGTGGACTCCATGTCTGGTGTGATTGCCTCTTTCATTGCCTATGGTGTCCTACACATGCGCGGAGTTGATGGCCGCGAGGGTTGGCGATGGCTGTTCCTGATCGAGGCTTTGATCAGTATTGTGATCGGATTCTTGAGTTTCTTGTTCTTGGTCCCGGGTCCTACACAGACAAAGACTTGGTGGAATCCGAAAGGCTACTTCACCGAAAGAGAAGAGAAGATTATCGTTAACCGTGTCCTGCGCGATGACCCTTCAAAAGGAGACATGCATAACCGTGAAGCGCTTTCTCTTGGAATGTTATGGCAGAGCTTGAAGGATTACGACTTATGGCCGATCTATGTCATCGGGATGCTGTTTGAGATTCCAACTTCTCCACCAAAGACCTATCTCACGCTATCGCTCAAAGCCATTGGATTTGGCACTTTTCAAACAACATTACTCACAATCCCCGTCACGGTATTTGGGGCTATCAACCTTGTCCTGATTACCGAGTTGACAGAGCGCTTTCACCAAATTTCACTCATTGGTCTACTTAGTCAGATCTGGAGCCTCCCACTTCTCATCGTGCTTTATACCTCATCTGGATCGTTGTCAAATTGGGGTCTCTATGCGGTGACGTTCATACTATTAGGCTGGCCAAACCCACATGCAGCACATGTTGGATGGTGCTCCCGATTGAGTAATGCTGTGCGAACGTAAGTCCCCCTAATCATCCACTACCGGACTTCTTTTAAATACTAATTCCGCTTTTAGGAGAACGGTTTCGGCCGCCCTTTACAATATAACTATCCAGCTCTCCGGTATTGCCTCCTCGAATATATATCGCAAAGACGACAAGCCCCTCTATCGCCGAGGAAACTCCCAGCTCATCGCTATCAATATTGCTACTATTGTCGCGTATATCCTGGCAAAGGCATACTATGTGGCCAGAAACCGGTGGAAGAAAGCACAGTGGGAAAAGTT